TCTTACATTTACGCGAACACTACACATTGATTAAAACTACTTTTACGGATTTTATCGCGTTTTATTTAATTTGCTATTTCCAGTCCGTACTGGCTTACATAATGATTTGTTATATTTACGCTAACACTATACATTGATTAAAACTACTTTTACGGATTTATATATAAATAAAACAGTTTTGAAAGTAGTTTTAATCGCTATATTTTTCATTTGAATATGTACATGTCGAATAGACAAAAAACTGCGATTGCCAACCCGCTCGCCAAGAGTGGCAACTATGGCAATATACTCCCCATGGGCAATGTTGGGAACACTAAGCTCGAAGTTTTTGACGAGTATGTTTACCTGGGACAAATAGTCCGACTAGGTAGGTCCAACTTCGACCGAGAGTTCAATCGACGGATTCAACTCGGCTGGGCAGCGTTCGAGAGATTGCAATACGTCTTCTCGTCAGGTATACCCTAAAATCTCAAAATTCACTGCTGGCCATATGAAGAAGCTCAAAGTCGCTCAGCGACCTATGCAGAGGGCTATGTTTGGAGTTTCTTTGCGTGATAAACTTAGGAATGAGGGTATCCACAGTAGAACCATTGTAACTGACAAAGCCATACGGATTAGTAAACAGAAGTGACAATGGGCTTGCCATATAGCTCGAAGAACCGATAACCGATGGAGAAGCAAGGTTCTCGAGTGGCTGCCTCGTACCGGCAGGCGATGTATAGGACGTCCCCCCACTAGATGGACTGATGACTTGGTAAGTCATGCAGGAAGTCGATGGATGCAGGTGGCTCTAGACCGTGCTTTGTGGCATTCCTTGGGGAGGCCTATGCTCAGCATTAGACTAATGATGGGCTGTAATGATGATTATGATGAAATAAAAATGGCATACACACAAAATCACGTCATTAACATTACCGTCGAAGAAAGTTAAATTGCCGAATTCTAAGAAGAAGACTTAGAATTCTAAGAAGAAGACGTAAACATAGAAAAACTTATGAGTATGGAGTGTAGAGGTAAGGTGAACAAGCTTTGTATAAAAGTGTCCGTAGGAAAGCGGTAAATAAGGGTGGCGCCACTGTAGCAAAGAACTTTTAAAAAAAATTTGCACAGATTTTCATCATAATTCCTTTTAAATTAATGATTTTATTATTTTTATTTTCAAAATTTTTATTTTAGAAATCACTTTCAACGTGTTTTACGGCGACTTTTTCTAGGCTATATTTACTAAATTATTTTAGACAACGTGACTAATTGAGGTTTTAAATACTGCAGTTTCATTAACAACTTTAGTCACCACAAATATTAAAATTCCTCAACTCAGCACGTTTCACTCCGTCGAACAGTGCTAAGCTCATTTCATAGACTCTAGCTACTCCAGCGATGTTTTTGAGAGTTTTTGAACTATCATTTACTACTTTTAGACGGACACTTTTTCAACTATTCTCCTATGGGAGATGGTTTTCCTTACCTCTACACTCCATAGTTATGAGTGTAAGACTGACGAATTGATTGCGATGCGAACATATCGCTAAATTCATATCGATAGGTTCCTTAAGTGAAAAAAAAACTCACGTGCATAAGCAAAACGCACTCAAACAATGAAAATCATCTGAACTCTTTAGTTGGTTAGCGCAACAAGTCTTTTTAGAGTTCCATAGTGATACAACAAGGAACCCACTTACTTTTGTCTAGTCCCATCCGTCTGTCTACTACTGGTTCTCTAAAGAGGCATGGATACCACAAATAAAAAGGTATAGCTAGTACGAAGACTTTAACTCCAAGCATACTGAATGGACCTGCCGCACTACTACCAGTAGTGGCAGGGTGCTGCTCAATATCACTCAGTCTCTCGACCTGACTGTCTACAGCCCCCCTCACTGCCACCCACTATCCCGACATTGTTAACTACGCTCCTGATGTGCTAGATTTTGCTCTAGTTAAAGGAGTCTCCCTTAACCTTAGAGCAATCGAGTCTCTCGATGATCTAGGATCCGACCACCGTCCTGTATCCCTCCTTCTTGGCCATCAGCCATCTCCAACTCCCACTTCCAAAACCTACACCAACTGGAAGGGCTTCAAGAAGTCTCTAGCCTCGGCTATAGACTCTTCGGACCCTCCCATAACCCTTTCTTCCGACGCCCTCGACAGTACGGGGAAAATAGACACCGCGGTCGAAAATCTCACCTCACTTATAACATCCTCTCTTAAAGAGAATGAAAAAGTTGTCCCGGTTGCTAAAACTAGTCTTCCCCTAGATATTAGCAACCTGTTAAAAGCCAAAAAAGCTGCCCTCCGTAGAGCTGCACGCTATCCCACTCCCTAATATAGACTCGCGGCCCACCGCCTTCAACGCAAACTACGTTACCGCCTCCAAGATTACAGAGATCAAGAAAAGGGCAATCTCATGGAGAAAATCTCTCCCTCCCACACAGCGTACTACCGGATGGCGAGAGCCCTCCGGATAGACGCTATAACGCATACTCCCCCTCTGTCTCGTCCCGACGGCTCCATTGCCTTCGAGGACGAAGAAAAGGCTGAGTGCTTCGCTGACAGCGTCACCGCTCAATGCTCTCCTAGCTCACAACCCACTGACCCTTACACATCCAACTAGTGGAGGACGAGGTCCGACGCAGGAACTCGCCCCCTACCGCCTCTGACCATATCACTGTGTCCAAAGATGAGATTTCATCTACCATCAAAGGACTTAAGCCCAAAAAAGCACCGGGTGCGGATGGTATCTCCAACCAAGCCCTCAAACACTTCCCGGAGCAGGTAATCGCCTTACTGGCCATTTAGTTATCTAGTCTTTAACGCCTGCTTCGAATTCAGTTACTTTCCCACCTCTTGGAAAGAGGCAACTGTCATTGGCATTCCCAAGCCAGGCAAACCTCACCACCTCCCCTCCAATCACCGTCCCATCAGCCTCCTCAAGGCCATAGGCAAACTTTTCGAACGAGTTATTCTCGTGCGCTTGAGGCGCCATTTGTTTCCCACAGACGGCGACCCTCTTGTCATCCCACAACAATTCGGGTTTCGAGCCAAACACTCGTGCCCCCAACAAGTTCACCGCATAGAGGAATACATCCTCAGCGGTTTTATCCTCGCCATAAAAAAAACCATCGCGGTCTTCTTTGACATTGCCAAGGCATTCGACAGAGTCTGACACGAGGGCCTTATCTACAAACTGTACGACTTAGGCCTCCCGGACCGTCTCGTTCGCCTTGTAGCCTCCTATCTGAAGGTACCTTTCGCTTTAGACACGAAGGCACGCTATCCTCTACTCGTCAAATAAAAGCCGGTGTCCCTCAAGGCTCTGTGCTTGCTCCCCTCCTATACATACTATTCACCAACGACATCCCTATCCCGTCGAACGGGCGAAAAAAAAAGCGGAGCAGGCTGCGCCCTCCTTTCTGCCAAGGAGGGTCGCGTTCGTATACGGCTTAGAGATCTCTAGTTAGATCGTTAAGCCAGTTCCTAAAAGGTTGGGTTTAGTGGGTAAAAGTCACCACATAACCACGCAGCCGGCTGCGTGGCTATGAGCATTCCCAACCTCCCTCCCCTGCTTTCCGGAGGGTTGCCCATATTTACTTCGGGCGCAAAAAAAAAAGCTGAGCAGGCAGTCATGGCTCTGGCGTGGCACGGTTCACTTGTTGTATCCCGCTACTAGCTTATCCTACACTATTCGGATAATTAATTCGTGGAAACGAATTAATTATTATTATCACTATTAAATTAGTATCAGTACAATTTATAGTTGATTACCTGTGATCCATGTATTTTGTGATTGTAAATTAATTCTATTTAACTGCCTTCCTACATATATATTTAAATGTGTATTGTTCATGTAAATATAAGAAAAGAGTTTTTAGATATTCATTAAGCCGATATTCAGCAAATTCGTTTGTCCGGATCATTGCGAGACATAATATGTTCCTCTTGTTTAAAAACAAATGGTTAGATTACAAATACACATGTAAATTGATTTGTTATCTCATTTTGAAATAAGATGTACCATTTTCCATATTCAAAGTTTACATATTTATTTATCTATGGTTTATATCATTATTATTATCTGAATAGAAAATAAGGTGTAATGTTTTTTTAATAAAATATGATTAACCTTTGACTAAATGTTACCTAATTATTATCTAGTCCAGTTTAAAACAAAGTGAAAGCTGTAAAATATCAACTTTAACTAATAAATGCTTTACAAGTTTACAATTAAGTAACGGTACAAGGTTACAAGATAACATTTTGTCACCGGTTAATCATATATGTAATCCACGCGACGATTGCAGGGTTACAAAAATAGTTTCGGAACACTTATTTAGCTGTCAGCTTATTCTTTTTTTTTTCGAATTTGAAGCCGTTTTATGGATTTTACGTTGAAATTTCTATACATAAATAAAATAGTCTCTTAAACGTGTTGGAGCCACGTTACGGCTATATTATGGTTGTACCACGGCTCGATCGGAAAGGATCACGACCTCACAGAATACTAGCGTTAAACAGCAGCTTAGTATTGCTGTGTTTCGTATGGTTTGTGTAGAGATCCGAAAACCTTTTTTCACTGGAAACGAGTCATTCCATCTTAGTCGTCAGGTCAACGCATCTGCATTTTGATTTTAATCGAGGATAAATGTAGATGTCTATGGGCCACGGAATATTGTATACTCGATTAACTTAATTATTATTTATGATATTATTTTAATTTTACGAAGTATAAAATAACTTGGAAACAAGCCTTAATAGTCAGAATAACATTATTTATTTTTATATAGTGAATGAAATTCTAAATATTACAGTGATATCTCATATTATTTCAGTTCACCAGGAAAATGGGTGCATTTTAGTGCTAAGTGGCAACCCTGAGATATGCACGCCATTTTGCAATACTGAGCATGTTGACTACTAATGAAAATGAGTTTCTTTACTCAATATAATATTTTAAATAGTTTTATTCGGTGAAATAAATTAATTTATTATTAAAAAATACCAAAATGGATATGCAAGAAGTAAAGTTATTCAATGCGGAGGTATTATTGGATTAATTGCGTTTATGCTTTACATTTTCCGTGGCATCAAATTAAACGAATCTTTTAATTTCAGTTATCCGGGTTGTACGACAACAAACCGCCTATCTCGAAGGCTAAAATGAGTGCCATCACAAGAGGTGCTATAAAGGCCATAAAGTTCTATAAGCATGTTGTGCACAGTGTAGAAAAATTCATACAAAAATGTAAGCCTGAATACAAAGTTCCTGGTTTGTACGTGATTGATTCAATTGTGAGGCAGTCCCGTCATCAATTCGGACAAGATAAGGATGTATTTGCGCCACGATTTGCGAAGAACATGCAGCAAACGTTCGCCAACCTATTCAGATGTCCACCAGAAGATAAGGTTAAAGTTATATAAAGTATTTATATTGTAGGTTATAATTTGCTTTGGTAGATAACTATATCGCAAACAATCAGTTCTGATACATAGTTTCATTAATCTTTTGTTTTGTTCACCAATAAAAATCCTATGATAAATCTAACATTATTATAAACTTTAATTTAGAAGTTTTAGTAGGTTGTAAGACTCCTTTTTGGTCTAGCATTTTGTCTGGTTGTATCACCCTCTTACCTATTTCTACTGTCTAATAGCATTTCTTGCATTGCTGTTTTCCAGTCTGAAGAGTAGAGAATCAGTATAATTACAGTCTGATGTATTCCATCTTAGTCCTCAGGGATAACAGTACATCTATAGCCTTCTTTGTTTGAAGTTAGCTACAGGGGTCCATGGACTGTAGTAGCAAATTATAGGCCTCCCCCATAGATTGCCTCATATGGGGGGATAATTGCCATAGTTCAATATTTGACCGGCAAGTTGGCAACTGCAGTTTTTAGTTCTTTTTTTATTAGAAAGGTGCTCCTGTTTTGTAATCCTCTGTCACTGGGTAGTGGATATTTTTACATCACCATTACACCTTTTGGGCATTAATCAAATATAATATACTATAAAGATGAGTACATCATCACTAATAGACTCCGTAATGAATATATGTCTTGAATAATTTGCGCTTTATGATTTAATGTAATGATATTCTATTTTTTTGTATAATTCATCAAAATTTATTCGTAACATAGGAACTATTATTTAATAGCTATTAGATTTATAGAGATTTTATGATTACCCTATTATTGTGAGTTGTTATTTATTACTCTGTTGCATGTTATGACATCCATGGTATGATATGGTGTAGTACATTATTTTATGCTGCCACTCCTCAGAAATATACTAGCACCAACTTTTTTAAAGAAGGCTGCATATTAAGCCCAAATACACTGAAAATCCTGTAGTTTTTGCATAATTGAGCCACAAACATAGAAACATCCAAACATCTATATCTATATACTTTCACATTTATAATATTAGTCAGATAATAAGTAGCCTACTTTTTTTTAATTTGCTGTAGATAGATGTCTAGAAAATCGGGTGTTATTTTATTATTGTTGTAAAATATCATAAAGCAACTTAATTATTTATGTTAAATGGTTAATATATTTGCTTTATAATAATAATATTTTGTGTGAAAGTATCTAAATCTTCATTTAGTGCTAACATAAATTTACTTTTCAGCGTAATATAATCCGTGTGCTGAATCTATGGCAAAAGAATAATGTATTTGGACCGGAAGTTATACAGCCTTTACTGGACATGGCAGACCCAAACCACCCATTGCACCAAGAAATCCAGCAACAGCAAAATAATACTGCCAACGGTAAGTTTATGCTATGCTAGAGTTTAATACCACAAGATTTTGATAATATAACAATTTTGTTATTAAATAATTTTAATATATATTTTTCAGGGAGCAGTTTGAATATCACCCACAACACTACAGATAGTAAAATATCCCCTGTACCACCACCACAGCATACCCCCCATGCTTCTACTCCTATGGGTGACCAGGTAATTGTTGATTGATCACAAGTATTCATAAAAAAGCCATACTATGCCTTAGGAATTAGTCACCAACCATTGGATCTTGCCTCTAATTACAATAGTAATACACTAATAGTTTGTAATTTGTGAGTTACACAATTAGTAAATTGTATAACTCACAAATTATGAACTAAGGATTTTCATTACAGAATTAAAAAATGATATTATGTTACAGTCTATAAAAGTTCACTCCTTAACCTAGGCCTACTCCATAGATTGCCTGGTAAGGGAAATTTTGCCATAATTGCTACATGTGCCACACTCTCACAGAATACCAGCTTAAAATAGTAGCTTAATTCTGCTGTGTTTTGTGTTGGGAGTGTAGAGAACCGGAGACCCTTTTTACTGCAAACAAGGCATTCCATCTTAGTTCTCACGGGTGACAATGCATCTGCATTTTGGTTTGTAATCGAGGATAGATGTAGATGTCTATGGGCCACAGCAAGCACTTACCATCAGGTGGACTGTGTGCTCGTTTGTCTCACTATCCTATAAAATAATTTTAACATAGTATTTAGAATCATCTATGATTAATTTAAAACTAAAACACGTTACATTATATATTTAATTATTATAAAAATTTTGCAAAACTAAGGGCGAAAGAATAGGATAATAAACAGTAAAGGTGTGAGCAATTTAAGGATACTTATTCTTCTTACTCTGTTGCATCTTATGACACCTACAGGATGCTATGGGGGTAGTAGACCATCTTAGAGTAATATAAAATAATAATAATAAATAATATAATCCGTCTTATTTATATAAAGTTCAATTTGTCAATCAGCAGACTGCATACATTCCTCTTACAGTTTTTTTACTGAACCTATTAATTTTCAGTTTCAGGATCAGCCATCAGGTCCACCACCAGGTGTCAAATTTAACCGCAAGTTGCTGAATGACTTTGAGTATGAAAGCGAAGATGACACGGTTGGGATGGAACCCCCTCCCTCCTCGACGCATACAACGCATTCTACCCACTCGTCGCATCAGACACACTCTTCGCATCAGAGCCATTCATCACATCAAGCACACCAGACTCATGCATCTCATCAGAATCAACATCACCAGACACATCCGTCGCATAATCCAACAGATGCACTTGGCAGGTTTGTATGACTTAATAATAATAATAATAAAGCCATTTATTCAACAGTACATAATACAATTTCTTAATCTAAGTCATATAAAATCTAGATTGTCTTCTGCTGATTACCAATCGGCAAAGGCCTCCTCCAACCTTTTCCACTCGTTTCTATCCTTGGCAACCCAGCTCCAAGTCACACCCGCGAAATTGACCAGGTTGTCCTCCCATCTGTGGCGGGGTCTCCCCCTCTTTCTTATGCCATTCCTGGGGTACCATTCTGTGACCTTCCTGCTCCAATTTTCCTTCCCTCTACTCATATGCCCAGCCCATTTCCACTTTAATTTCCTGACTTTTGTTGCTATGTCCCGAACCTTTGTGTTTTTCCTAATGTCTTCTAACCTAACTCGACCTTTTTCCTGATTCCCATCATGCTTCGCTCCATCGAATGCTGGCATATGTTTAATTTCTTACTGTTTAACTTAGTAGGAGCCCATGTTTGACATCCATACATCAATATAGGAAGAATGCATGTGTTGAACACTTTAGATTTAATGGATATGTGCAGTTCTTTATCTTTCATTATTTCCTTCATGCTCCAATATCTTTTCCATCCATTTGCTACTCGCCTGTTGATCTCTTTTTCCATGTTGTCTGTGGGTGAGATCATTTGGCCCAGATAGATGTATTCATCAATGTATTCTATCTCACTTTGTCCAACCCTAATGTTTTCATTCTTAGGTCCGTTGGTCATTACTTTCGTTTTCTCCATGTTCATTTTCAATCCCACCGTGTGACTTTCTAATGCCAGGTCTTTGGCCATGACATTCAGCTCATGTGGGGTTTTTGCAAAGAGAACGATGTCGTCTGCAAATCTTAAATGTGTTAACCAAGTTCCATCGATACTGATTCCATATCCGTCCCAATTTAGATTGTATGACTTAGTTCACTGATAAGAACCTAGAAATAAGTTATAAAATCTAAGTAAGTATTGTATGTGGTAGAGCCATGCTGCAGCTTTATTATGGTTGTAACATGAATGGGTCGGCTCAACCAGGGAAGGACCACGCTCTCACAGAATACCAGCATAAAATAGCAGCTTAATACTGCTGTGTTTTGTATGGTGAGTATAGAGATCCGGAGACCCTATTTTTTACTGGAAACGAGGTATATTCCATCTTGGTTCTCAGGGGTGACAACGCATCTGTGTTTTGATTCTCAATTGAGGATAAATTTAGATGGCTATAGGCCACAGCATCACAGCATCATGTGCTCGTTTGTCATCATTTAACATACTTGCCTTAATTCAGAATTTAATGTTTGAAGAATTGCATAACTTACCATATTAAAAAGTTGTTATGATGGCCAGGAAGGGTTTATATCTGTATAATCAATTTACCTATGTTGCATTTAGATCAAATTGAACTAAAAATTTTTATAAAACTATTTTTTACAGGATGATTGAATATGCATCATGTTTGCATTTTTTTTTACTATTCTAAGCCAGCGCTAGACTACTACCTCACCTGACAGGTGATGAGAATATGTACTAAGGTTACCAGTAAAAATTGGTCTGTTAAGCATGTCATGTACTTTTATTGAATGGGGTAACAAATGAGCGTACAGACCACCTGATAGTAAGTGGATGCTGTGGTTCAAATACAACACATTTATCCTTGCTTGAGCATCAAAACGTAGATCTATTGTCACCCCTGAGGGCTAAGATATAAGATAATGTGTAAGGGGTTTTATACATTTGTTACATTAAGCTGATATTTTACATTGGTATTATGTGAAAGTGGTCTGAACTGGTTAGGCCCACTCATTCTTGCTGCAACAGTAATATAGCTGCAGCTTGGTTATATCATGTTAAAAATGCCCATGTCCATATGCGGTTTTGTTATGAACTTAATTCAAACTGTCTTTCAAATCCATTATTCTGAAACATGCTTGTTGCAGCATTCTCACAAACCCTGAGATCATGCGACAGCTGCAGAGCTTGCAAGCACAAATGCAGATGATGACTGGTATGCAGATTCCAGTGAGTAAATGTTTTATATTGCATGTTATTGTTTCGTATTATATATAGCCTTTGAGAAAAAAGATATAGTTGTATGTGTTCAAAAAATTTCTATTCTTTGCTACAAAAACCTAAAATTAGAGAAGACATTTTGTGCTTTCACAAACATAATTATCGACATCATCAGCCTATAAAATTTCGCTGCTGAACATTGGCCTCTTTCCTTTTTTTATATTATAAAGGTGACAAACAAGCACACTGTCCATCTGATGGGTAAGTGGATGTCGTGGCCCTTAAATATCTACATGTGGCGGCGCTGTCGTCGCGCCAAAAGCGAAACACCTCGAAGCCTAAATCGCGCTATCAAAGTTCCGAATCAAAAACAGTATATATAGAATAGCCTCGAACTATCACACCAAGTGTTGGCCGCTCCTCGGGTTGAACACCTTACACATACTACTACTTCATCATTGTCATAAAGTACACCACCCATTCGCTCCCGAGCAGATATCATCTGCAGTCTTGACATCCTGCAAGCCATCTAGCTCTACAAGGTTCACCGCAGCACTGGAATAATAATGCTTCCTGTTCTTTCAAGCTACTCTTCGCGCTACAGTGTTTGGTACGGCTTTGAGCCATACTGCTCGCCTCTACTTCACAGCACTCTCGCAGATTACTTGCCTTCTTCTCGCCTCACTGCAGACTACAAAGCAATCCCCTGGCACTTGCACATTTGTCGGCAACTAGACTGTACCGTCAATCTCCGATCTGAGCAGAGGGATGATGTGATGATGACGGCGCTGTCGTCGCGTCACAAGCGAAACATATCGAAAACAGTATATATAGATAGAATAGCTCCAAACTATCACATGGAGCGTTGGCTGCTCCCCGGACAGAAAACCTTGCTCAGCGAGAGATCTTCCTTTTTTTCCACTGCCAAATATATTTATTCTGGATTGGTGGTGGTAGGAATACCCACTACCCCATATCATCCCGTGAGTATCGTGTAAGAGGTGACAGAGGGAAACTGAGGGAGAAAATGGGCAGCAGCATCTTTCTGATAACAGCAAAAAGCAATAAAAGACAGCGGTTGCCAACCTACTCGCCAAGCGTGGCAACTGGGGCAATATATCCCACATGAGCAACAACGCAAATAAACAGTCCCCAGAGACCCCGCTATTTCTGGCTACCGTGGTGACCATGGTAACGGCGGGCAAGGGGTGTTAAGAATCTCCAGTGGAGGTTCGGCTGCTACCTAAGACAGCTCGACCAGGCAACATAATGTATGCACCCTGAGGACTGACAGAAGATCTTGGAGCTGGAAGGAGAGATAGACAAGTTGCGTTGGGATATTATAGGATTATCTGAGGTCCGAAGAGAGGAGGAGGATACGGTAATCCTCAAATCTGACAACTTTCTATCACCGGGAGGGCGACCATCTGTCCCAAGGTGTCGGATTTATCGTCCACATGTCTCTCCACTCTTAATGTGTGTCGACGAGGGTTGCGTACCTTATACTCAGATCACCAAACGGTTTTCGCGGTCATACTGGTTTACGTACTAACCTCTGCACATCCCGATTAAGGAGGTGGAGGAAATGTATGAGTATATCTCTAGAGCTATGCATTCCTCCCAAACTCACTATATTATGTTAATGGGAGACTTCAATGAAAAACTAGTGAGCTGAAAGGAAAATTCGGGATAGGGCAACGAAACCCAAGGGGCCAGCAGGTGGCCGACTTTATGAAGAAAGAGGGACTCTTTATGATGAACTCTTTCTGCCCGGGGTTCGTTAACTGGGCCCTGACGGTTCGATAAAAAATGAGATTGACTTCATCATGACAACCAGATGACAACTGTTCAGCAATGTCTCAGTGATCGCGGGTGAAAACTGACAGCGCCGCCGATTGGTGAGAGGCACACTGAGCTTAAATGTGAAGTTGGAGAGGTCACATCTAATGAAGTCAATGCTTTGTCACCTCGTGCTCTAATGCAAAGCCCCAAAAACTTTCAGCTTGAGTTACAAAATCGTTTTCAGTGTCTAGAAGACTGAAATGAAGTGGACAATATGAATGACAAGCTTGTGGAAAATGTCCATGCGATCTCAGCGGAGTTCTGTAAGACCCGTCGCAGAAGAATACAAAAACTCTCTGATCACACTCTTAATCACATGGCTGTTAGACGGGCGATGAAGCTGCAGTCTTCAGTAGATTTGACAGCATACAGCCAACTGAGTAGACAGATCTCCAAATGCATGCAGCAGGACTTACACAACTTAAATATAGCTCGTATTGAAGAAATAATCGAGCGAAACCATGTCCACCACACCAAGTCTTTGGCAGAGATCTGTCTTCCAGAAAGAGCAAACTGTCGAAGCTGAAGACTGAATGTGGCAGAATCATTTCCAGGACACCTGAGATATTGAGTGAGATTGAGAGGTTCTATAAGCAGTTGTATTATACAACATCATAGAAGCCACATGTAAGTGTGAGTAAAGATCCAAGAGCAAGTATTGTTCAACACTATTCTTATAATATCCCAGACGTCAGTCTGAGCGAGATTAGAATGGCACCTTAAAAACGGCAAGATCCCGGGCGAGCATGCAATTACAGCGGAGCTTCCGATAGCCAGTGGAAAACCGATACTTTCCAAGTCTTTCAGAAGCTGAATCTGAAAGACTTGGTAAGTTAAGGACAGAATTGAGACAGAGCTTCTGAAAGACTAAGTCTTTCAGGAGCTCTTCAATTCTGTACTCCATTGTGGAGCAGAAGTGCGGTGATCTTGTTCTTCAAGAAATGCGACAACGCTCTCTTGAAGAACTAAAGACTACAGAGTCACTACGAATCGTCTCGCAGGCAGACTCGACGACTTCCAACCTCCTGAACAAGCCAGTTTCCGAAAAGGCTTTAGTACCATAGACTAAAGACCACATACATACCCTTCAGCAAATTGCACAGAAGTCCGAAGAGTGCAATCTGCCACTTTGTCTTGCATATTTGGACTATCAGAAAGCCTTTCATTCTGTAATTTGGCAGTGCTGCAATCCCTTCAATGGTGCTAAGTTGTCTGTCGGTATATCGAAATGCTGAAGTGTTTGTACAGTAGGGCTACGATGGCTAACTGAGTTCAGAACTAGAGCACGAAACCTATCCTACTGCAGAGAGGTGTAAGACAGGGTGACGTAATATCACCGAAACTTCACCGCTTCCTTTTAAGATGTTTTCAAGCTACTGGACTGGAAAAGATATACCATATTAATGTCAATGGCCAGTACATCACTCACCTTCGATTTGCCGACGATAAAGTCCTTATGGCAGAATCACTGGAGGACCTAAGCACTATGCTCAATAACCTCAATTGTGTCTCCCAACGGATAGGTATTAGATAAAAATGAACAAAACAAATGTCCATGTCACACTTTACACACATTGGTGTGCACACACTGGTGGTTGTTGGGAGCACTAAGCTCAAAGTTGTTGAAAACTGTTTACCTGGTACAAATAGTCTGACTAGGTAAGACTTTTAAGTATTTTATAGAATAGGGGTGGCAAACAAGCACACAGTCCACCTGATGCTAAGTCATAGAGATGGTAGCCCATAGACATCAAAATGTACATGCGGTGTCATCCCTGAGGACTGAGATGGAGTGCCTCATTAGCAATTATATGGGTCTCCGGTTCACTTCTCTCACCATAAGTAACATAGGAGTATTATTCTGCTGCTTTATACTGATATTCTGTAGTGTAGATATGTGTAGTCCCACCCCGGTCTAGTCGACTTATTCGTGCTGCAGCTATTTGTAGTTGTACAGAATCGCTTTCTTTATAGAATAAGGGTGACAAACAAGTACATAGTCCACCAGATGGTAAGTGGATGCTGTGGTCCATAGACATCTACATTTATCTTCAAATAAGAATCAAAATGCAAATGCGTTGTCACCCCTGAGAACTGAGAAGGAATGCCTTGTTTCCAGTAAAAAGGGTCTTCAGTTATCTATAATCACCATAAGAAACACAGCAGCATTAAGCTGATATTTTACGCTGGTATTTTTTGAGAGTGTGGTTTTACCCCTATCGAGCTGACCCATTCAGGCTGCAACCACAATATAGCTGCAGCATGGCTCTACCACATGTAAAAATCTCTGCTCTGCCATGTAAAGAAAAAAAAGTACCTATTTTTAATTTGTACATTAAAAACAACAATAATATTTTCAATTTTAATTTCAGAATTTAATGCCTATGATGTCCGATATGCAATTACAACAAACTACAAATCAAGGCCTACCTTTCTTGGTAAGTGTTAAATTAGAATCTTTTTCTCTGGTGCTTAATATTTAAATTACTTACTGAGCTTAGATTTACCCATGAGTTGTCTTGGGAATATAGGGTTCCTCATGTTGTTTTCTTTACCACCATGTACATGGTAAATTAGCAGTTAAAACTGGAGTTAACAATGTCAGTGATGACGGTGGGCATTTAACTTGTATTGCTTCATCATCATCATTATTACAGCTCATCACAAGGCCATTACAGAACATCCCCTCCTCAAGGAATGCTACAAAGTACGGTTGTGAGCCACCTGCATCCATTGACTTTTCCCATATCTTACTTGATTGTTGTATTGCTCACATACTAAGTAATTAAGACCACAACTGTAACAACGAAATTATTATAATTTTTTTCAGAGTTCTCAACAAGACCAACAGAAACAAAATGAGCCCAAAGAAGACATGGCAAATGAGTCCGACATAGAGTTTGTGGATGCCGGACCACAAGTTATAGAAATACCTGATGCAAATGACTCCAGGTAGGCATTTGTCTGGTTTTATATTTAATTAATTATTAAAATTGTTTTTACTCAATTAAAATATATATTTATTTCATGAAATTTTTAACAAGAGATATATTTTTTTTAAATAAGGTTGACAAACAAGCGCATAGTACATGGTGGAGCCACGTGTTTAAGGCTGCCGAAAGTCTAGTTCCCCGGTCAAACCTCAAACCTATTACGCGAGATATTAACTAAAGTGGACTGTATATGCGATTGCTTCTACGCTTACGTAAAAGCGACTACTATAGCATGCGGTACAATGCACTCGCTCTTCCCTAAACTAAACTATTACTTGTCGAATCGATGAAAGGAATCCTGCTTGATTAGGAAAAAAAAACACAGATTGGAGCGGGTTAAACTATTAGCAAGCAGGTATAATTAAGGAATATTGACTCACCGGGGTTTCTTCTTCCTGTCGATCACTATGGCGGCGACTTCCGGAACCTCCTCTGGACAGACACTCTGGGGCTCAGTGGTGCGTCAGGAGAGAAGCGTTGGTTCAACGACGACTGCGGCGGGAGAAGAGGCTCGCGCATCGGTCGCGCGTGTCTTATATATCCTCGGCTCGGGTGATTACGCGATGTTCTAGAATCGTCTTCTTTCCCCTCCCACCCCACCACCCCGATGTGTCGATAGGAGGGTACGAATGATATTGTTTGGAAAGGAATAATGATTCTACAAGTTCCTACCGTCAAATAAAAAACGCGAATGGTTTTCCGCGCAACCATCTCCCCCCGCCCTTGAAGGATTTCCTTCAAAAAAAATAACTAAACAACTAGAGCTAAGATCGACTAACAAATAACTAACTAACGCTAAGATTACCTAAATTAAACTACAATTTCAGTCTAGAAAGCTAATTTAAATTATGGAAGAGGCAAGGGGCACAAACGGATAACAGGACGTAGGTAAGACCCAACCGTGGTCTTAACGCGAGCTATCCTAATTACTCCGTCGGAACCGGGAAAGACCTCCTCGACGATTCCTAACGGCCAGTGGAGAGGCGGCGTATTCTCCTTAGTGAGCACAACTACGGTTCCTACAGCTAAAGGCTCTGTCGCTGTGTTCCATTTTTGCCGAGACTGCAAAGTATGCAAGTATTCCATCCTCCATCGTTTCCAAAACGATTGCACTAACCGATCTAATAATTTGTGGCGTGTGGAAATGCTAAGTCTGTTCTCATCCATATCCGCGGCGGGCAGATACCTTAGAGGCGTTAAAGTCAAAAAATGTGCTGGAGTTAGAGCCAGCGGTTCCGAGGGGTCACTAGATAACGTCCGACAAAGTGGGCGGCTATTCATTACGCATTCAATTTGAGCGAGCACCGTACTTAGCTCTTCGAAGGACAAAATTTGATCTCCTATTACTCGGTATAAGTGGCTCTTTAGACTTTTAATATTAGTCTCCCAATTGCCCCCAAAATGACTCGCGGCTGGGACGTTCAGAGACCACTCAATGCGGTTCTCGGCTAGAATGTGAGCGAACTCCGAATTATAATACTTGCTAGCTAAGAGCTCGTGTAGTTCCGATAGAATACGTTTTGCACCGACGTAGTTCGTACCGTTATCCGAATATAATTTACTTACAGGGCCTCTGCGCGATAGAAATCTTTTAAATGCACCCATAAAGCCTGCTGTGCTTAGATCACCAACGAGTTCTATATGCACTGCTCGAGTAGTTAGACATACGAAAATGCAGACGTAAGCCTTTGTGGATCTTATACCACGCCCGCGAGTGAGCGTGACCTTAAACGGACCAGCAAAATCAGACCCGGTGTGCGTGAAGGGCTTTACCGATTGTATCACTCTACAAGATCTAAGTTCCGCCATTTCCGGAAATGACGGCTTGGGGCGTGCCCGAAAGCAAGCTATACATCTGTGCACCCGATTGCGTATTAAACTACGTGCAGAAAGAATCCAATAATTCTGACGCAAGATCGACATCAATAAATCGGGGCCAGCGTGCGAGTTCAATTTATGATGATAATCGACTAATAAGTTCATGATATGGTCTTTACGCGGTAAAACTATAGGGTGCCGTTGGTCGAAACTCAATTGCGAGTTGGACAAGCGTCCACCTACCCTTACAATCCCATCCTGTAAAAATGGCTTAAGGCGTTGAAAGGCGCGACTACAAGCTCTATTCGATTGTAATCTTGTAATTTCTTCAGAGAAGTGCGCACGTTGAAGTTCACGTAATACTAGCGACTCGGCATAGTTGTAATCGGATGCTAAGACATACGGACGTCGCGGTAAAAGCTTCGCGAATCGACAAACGTAAATTACGCTACGCAATAATTTCGACCAAGAGGACAAGCGGTTCGCCAGAGCAATGATTGGAGAAACCTCGCTCGAAACGTTCGCCACTAGAGCGTGTCTCTTCTCTTCCGGCGGTTGTGACACTGACGAAGGTTCGAAATCGGTTATTGGCCATTGTGAGGGATCCAAGTAAACCCAAGAAGGTCCATGGAACCAAAGCGGGTGGTCCATTATTTGCATCGGGGTGAGTCCCCGGGATAGACAATAGGCAGGGTTTTCCTTACCGGACACGTGATAAAAGTTCCGCGTTTCTAACTCGTCTTGGATCTTGGCCACTCGGTTCGCGACAAACGTATCCCAACGGTGGGGTGAAGAATGAACCCAACATAAGGCGACGGTGGAGTCGGAAAAGGCAAATGTTCTTTCTATGTGAACTCTATCCCTACATGCGCCGATAACTGTGGTAATAAGCTTGGTGAGTACTAATATTGCGCAAAGCTCTAAGCGCGCCAGAGAGACAACCTTACGGGGGGAGACTCTCGACTTAGAACTAATGAGGCTAATCGAATTTCTACCATTATTCTGGACATGGAAATATACAACGCCCCCGTAGGCCTTCTCGCTGGCGTCTGCAAATCCAACAACCGTTATGCTGCTATTTCTATCGACATTTATATGACGCGGTATTTTAATTTCTCTTAGTAAAGGAAGTTCCTCTCTAAAGCGCTGCCACAATCGAACAATGCTGTCAGGCGGCGAGTCATCCCAATCGCATTCAAATAACCAAAGTTGTTTAATCAAAAGCTTAGCGTATAATACCACCGGAGCTACGAAACCCATGACGTCCCATAATCTAGCAACGCATGACATTATTGTGCGCTTTGTGCATTTCTCTACGGGCGGATTTACCTTAAGGCTAAACACGTCGGACTCTGGTGACCAACACAGACCGAGCACCTTGTGTGTATCGGAATCGTCGAATTCCTTTATCGCCGAAAGACGGTGTGATAGTGGGATTGTATCTAAAACCGGACGCGAATTACTAGTCCACTTCACAAGATCGAATTGACCCGATTTCATGAGCCTTATAACCTCGGCGGTGGTTAGGGTGGCCTCCTCCACGCTATCGACCGAATACACAAAATCATCCATATATAATCCGCTCTCAATTGCCCTCTTAGCTTTAGGATAAGAGGGACCTTCATCGTGAGCGAGCTGTCTCACCGTGCGTAACGCATGAAATGGGCTCGACTTTAAACCAAAACAAACGCGGTTAAATTCTAACACCATTAGAGGTTCCTTTGGGTGGAAACGATATAAAATGCGCTGGAATCTACGGTCGCATTCACGGACCCCTATGCAAAGAAACATTTGGCGAATATCGGCGGATAGTGCTATACTAAACAAACGAAAATTGACTATTATATCAAATAAACTGCCCTGTAAATTTTGAAAAACTATAGAGGATATCGTTAAGCGACAGGTGAGTGCTAGTTTTAGCACTTGCGTCGAGCACTACACGTAATTTAGATGTAAGTTTGTCCTCTCTAATGACTCCGTGGTGTGGTATAAAATACGACGGTGTGTCTTCGTAGTTATCTAATTTCGAAGCCACAAGTGATATGTAACCTTCTCTTATATATTCGTTAATGACGCCGTCGTAAGCTTCCTTTAACTGGGGCGAAGTGAGCATCCTACGCTCCAAGCTGTAGAAACGTTTTTCCGCCATTTGACGCGAATCGCCGAGAGATAAAACATCTCCCTTAAAGGGTAGCGCTACACTATATCTACCGTCGCGATCACGAACGGTCGTGCGGACGTAAATTTCCTCGCATATCCTGTCATCTGAACTAGCTATGGGTGGGACGTTCACCTCCTCCATCTCCCAAAATTTGCAGACTAACGACTCGAGCGGTTCGACAGCCATACCACAATAAGAGGCTGCCGAAATACTATCTAGGATGGGGGCGGAGCCAAGGATCACATAGCCCAATACGGTTTCCAGTGCGTAAGGCGCGGTATGCGAGGAGTTGCCCCTGACCTTATTGTTTAACAAAAGATGAGGGAAAAGCGATGCCCCAATGAGCATGTCTATGTTTCCAGGAACGGCGTAAGTGTCGTCTGCTAGAGTCAAATTTTTAAATTCAATCATTGCCGAGGTGTCAACCGAAACGGTTGGCAACCGTTCAGTGACCCTATCTACTACTAGTGCATTTATATCAAAGTTAACGTTACGATCTATCCGAGAATAAAATTTTAAATTTATATATCCCTGTGTCGCTTTACTAGTACCTCCGATGCCTTTAACTACAGGACATGAAAGTGACCTATTTATTACTAAGCCTAAGCGCTGACAACATTGTCGTGTTATAAAGCTATTTTGGGCTCCGCTGTCCAGCAGTGCACGGACGCTTTGTTTGTTTCCACGCGAATCCCTAACCAAAATACGCGCCGTACCCAGTAACACGGTTGAAGGAGGTTGTGCTACCATATTTGCCAATGAGCACAGAGCGACATCACCAGGTCGACCGCTAGAATCGTTGACCTTAGTAGGGGTGAATTCCTTATTCGCCTTACTTGACGCCGCTATGTTGCTATTTTCAAAATGTAATAGCGTGTGATGTTTCCTGGCGCACTTGCTACATACGGAACTCGAATTGCATTTTGCAACTAAATGCTTATCGCTTAAGCAGTTCAAACATAGGTTGTTTGTTTTTACTAACTTATAACGTTCGCTTGGTGAATATTTACGAAAAGTCGCACAGTTATATAAATTACCGTGTTTATCTTTACATACTATACAAGTATGCTGGAGTGATGTCGGCGTAGCGGTTACGTAAGTTAACGACCCTGCTATTTTAGATGGTTGAGTCTGTCTACGGTCGACGCACCTTTTAATCTCCTGTTTAACGTTCGGTGAGCGCTGCATCACCTTTATTTGATCTCGCACGAACGATGCTAATGAATGAAAGGAAGGCATCTCCGAGCTACGATGCTCCATTTCAAACGCACGCACGGTGTCGGAGTCTAATTTCTTTAATGCTATATGGAGAAACACCACGTCCATGAGGTCATTAAACTTCAAATTCTTAAGTGCAGCCACCGATGCCACAAATTTATCGAGAAACTGCTCTAAGCCGTTGATGTTCGCGGATGATATAGGTTTAAGATCGAATATCTGGTTCAAATATTCGGAAGCTAACATTCTCCTATCTTCATATTTAGTTTTAAGCGTTTCAAATATTAATACGTAATTGTTTGCTGTAGGTGTAAAACCCGAGCAGATCGACTGTGCTCTGCCACTAAGTTTACTAATTAAGTAATATAATTTTTCAGCGTCCGATAACGATGGGTTGTTGTGTATATTGTTTTGAAAACTACTGAAGAAGAAGGGCCACGTCTTAATATCACCATTGAATACCGGAATATCTATTGGCGGTAACCTAATTGAGTCATGAGGGCGTACCTGCATTTCAGGCTTCGCTTCACCTTGAGATTGTAGCAATTTTGCGGTTCTCTTCACGCGACACAACATATCTTCGAATGCCAGCAGCGGTTGGTAGTTCACTATGTATTTCGGGTCGGTTTGTAGTTCCGAATGATTAATTTGATCTAATATTCTTTCGTAATCTGTCCGCAAATTATCTATCGTTTCGATTTCATTTAAAAAGGCCTCCCGTACTGCCTCTATATGAATGTTCTTTATATAATCACTTATATTCTGCACACGCGAAAAGAGTATGTCCCTCTTGGCATAAAGCGTTTTAATTTTGATTTCACTTCCACTAACTGCCATTTTAAATTATTATAATAAAGTTATATTAATCACAATTAATCTCACACGCATAAACGACGTAGGATGAATACTCGGCGTGCCGTATTACGTAATCAGATCGAGCGCCCGATGCAGTCAAGGCTACGCGTCGTTTGCTAAACCTAATAATTTTATAAAAATTGTGGGGTAAGCGTATCAAACGGTTGCTATCACGCCGTTTCAATTATTTAATAAGCTTTAAATTTAACCAAATACGAGCGCTATTAAATGAATAATTCTGTTTGCGAGTAACAAATCAAAATTTTAATTTAAACGAACACTATTTAAGTCTATTCTATAAATTAGAGTGCGTTATCTAAACAATTAATTTAATAATTCGACCAGAAAATGGTTGGATAACCACTAAACACCAATCCAGATCCTGCCGAAGTGACCATAAAATGGTGGAGCCACGTGTTTAAGGCTGCCGAAAGTCTAGTTCCCCGGTCAAACCTCAAACCTATTACGCGAGATATTAACTAAAGTGGACTGTATATGCGATTGCTTCTACGCTTACGTAAAAGCGACTACTATAGCATGCGGTACAATGCACTCGCTCTTCCCTAAACTAAACTATTACTTGTCGAATCGATGAAAGGAATCCTGCTTGATTAGGAAAAAAAAACACAGATTGGAGCGGGTTAAACTATTAGCAAGCAGGTATAATTAAGGAATATTGACTCACCGGGGTTTCTTCTTCCTGTCGATCACTATGGCGGCGACTTCCGGAACCTCCTCTGGACAGACACTCTGGGGCTCAGTGGTGCGTCAGGAGAGAAGCGTTGGTTCAACGACGACTGCGGCGGGAGAAGAGGCTCGCGCATCGGTCGCGCGTGTCTTATATATCCTCGGCTCGGGTGATTACGCGATGTTCTAGAATCGTCTTCTTTCCCCTCCCACCCCACCACCCCGATGTGTCGATAGGAGGGTACGAATGATATTGTTTGGAAAGGAATAATGATTCTACAAGTTCCTACCGTCAAATAAAAAACGCGAATGGTTTTCCGCGCAACCAGTACACCTGATCGTAAATACATACTGTTACCTGTAGACATCTACATTTTTATCCTCAATTAAGAATAAAAATGCAGATGCGTAATTGCCCCTGAGGACTGGCTGGCTCTGACTCTGGGCCACAGCATCCACTTATCATCAGAAGTACTGTGTGCTTGTTTTTAACCTATGAGGTGAGGTATGAATTTTGAGGTATTAATTTAGAGAACATTGAATTTGGGATATTTTATTTAATGGAAGAGCTACCCCAAAGTAAGTGTAATAACTATGTTCGGTTTTCATTTAACTCAATCAAACTGAATGCTGAATTAAAAATGTAATTATTTAATTCAGCATTCAGTATACACATCTTTGTCTGTCTTTGTCTATTCAACTCTTTATTATAGCTTGTTTGCAAGTGTCGACAGTTGATTCTTCTAGCCTGACCCCGATTTAATAATGTTGAAAGATTAACAAATGTATCTGCTTCCAGAAGGATTGACCCCGACACCAGTACTAAATGACAGAATTAATTTCATTTTACCATATGATTGCATCTGTACTTTAGCAATTTAAAGTTTGAAGCCTATCTCTTTTGTATTCTAATACCCACCTAACTTTGAGCAAACTTCAAAAAGAAAGTTTGTCATCTATTGAAGAAGCTGCCACCAATTGAGCTGAATCAATAAAAGACCGCTTTATTCCAGAAGCCCATCCCCGAAATCCCGTCGCCACCGTTCGCGTTCGAAGTCGCCAAAGCGACGCAGACGTTCGCGTTCACGATCGCGTTCGCCCAGGAGGCGGAGGGACCGAGACAGAGACCGGGAGAGGTTAGTAGATATAGCTATTGGAAACTCACAGAACACTAAACATGCAGCAGCTTTTGAACAATTTTTTAATCATACATGGTAGACCGCCATGTAGCTATATTATGGTTGTAGCACGAATGAGTCTGCTCGACCGGGTATGTCTACGCTCTCACTAAATTTTAGTATAAAATAGCAGCTTACTTCTGCTGTGTTCTATATGTTGAGTGTAGAGAACTGGAGACTCTTTTTACTGAAAATGAGGCATTCTATCTTAGTCCTCAGGGGTGATAATGCATCTGCATTTTGATTCTTAATTGAGAATAAATGTTAGATGTCTATGGGCCACAGTATCCACTTACCATCACGTGGACTGTGTGCTCTTTTGTCACCCTCTTGCTATAAAAAAATATTATCATACTAAGAACTAGTTATACCATAACTGCTTTTTTACTTTAACATAAAAGTTTAAACTGCATGTTGTGTTGTCAATATTTAAGCAATGAACTATATTTACGTCCAAATAATTCTGTTTCAGAGATAGAGATAGGGAAAGGGAAAAGAGCCACAAAGAGAGAGAAGCTGAGAAAGAGAAGCAAAGGGAAAGAGAGAAAAAGGGATTGCCACCGATTAAAAAAGAAAACCTAAGTGGTAAGGTGTAAATTGTTGATATGTTTTGCCTTTAAATATAAGCATAATTTTGGTAAAACGCGTACATTAAAGAAAATAATACTTTTTTTAAGTTTATTATTTTTTGTGATGTTATCTCTAACTCGCCTGGTCTTGTTATGATATCTCACTAACTATTCCAAATTTGTAAAATATTTGAATTCAGTCATTAAAAAACTAAGACAGGAAAAGATAGTTAACCATGTATTGGAGGTGTGAGAAAATTCACTACCCCATATCGCCCCATGGGTGTCATTAGTGGCAGACTAACGTTAGGGTAGTGACAGAGAGAAACTGGAACTAGAGATGGACAGCAGCATATTTCTGATAACAGCTCAAATCAAAAAAGAACTGCTGGCAACTATGGGAAAATCCCTCCATGAGGTAATCATTGAGGAACTCCTATATTCAGCTGTGGACTTAGGCTGTAATAGATGGATGTATATTAGTTTGAACTGCAAATCAATACCATAAAGTCATATTAAACAATGCAAGTAGTGTTTTTTCATGTGTATATTCATATAAATTTAAATAGGCATACCAAACAATAAATACCAATGCTGCAATCATGTGGTGGGGTGTGTATGATACAAAACTCATCATGAAAAATGACAATGATGAACTACTAAATTTAAACTAAATGCTCCAACGCTACTAAGCACTAGTACTGTGCCTTTTCTGAAGTAATGTCCGAAATATTGGGTGAAGTTCACATGGATAGATTTTTTATAAGTTAGAAAAATTACCGTTACCATTCCAGTTTATCAAAGTCCACCGTTGAACATAGGCCTCCCCCATAGATTGCCTTAAAGAAGGGATATTTGCCATACTTTCCACTCTTGGCAGCCGAGATGGCAAGTGCAGTTTTTTTGTCACTATTAGGAAGATGCTGCTGCCGAGATAATATGTTCATGTGCACTATCAGTAGTTTTACAATCTGAGTTTTTTGATTTTGACAATTCTGGACCAAGTTTGGTCAGTGTCACCACTTGTTGCTTAAAATTCCTTTATTTTGTCTGATTAAGTAGTCATTTAATAGTAACAGTGAACCCTGATTTAACATTAAATTTTTAAGAAAAAATCCACTCTTATTGGAGATGAAATTTTTAATGTTACTTTTTAGATGATATTCTGGTTGTTACCAGTTAGTTGTGTGTAGGTGATAAATGGTTATGTGTAATTGTTTACTGTGTAGTGGTGGTGTAAAAAATCTATAACTACACATTTTACCGTGGGACAGAATGAAACTGGAACAACGGTGGCTAGCACCATCTTCATGATTAAAACTCAAAATAATAAAAATTATGTTTATATTTGGTAAAGCCACGCTGCAGCTACATCATAATTGTAGCATGAACGGGTCGGCTCTACCAGGGAAGGACCACGTTTACAGAATATGAGCGTAAAATAGCAGCTTGATGCTGCTGTGTTTCGCATGTTGAATATAGAAAACTGGAGACCCGTTTTACTGGAATTGATGCATCCCCAGAGGTAACAACGCATCTGCATTTTGATTCTTAATCTAGGTTTAAATGTGGATGTCTATGGACCACGGGATCCACGTACCATCATGTGGACTGTGTGCTCATTTGTCACCATAATTCTATTAAAAAAATAGCCTGTCAAACGTGGCAGCTATGGCAATATTGACCCTATGAGGTAATCTTTGTTGGGAGGCCTATGTTAAGTAGTGGTTTATAGTTAGCCAGTAATGGACAGATGGATGGATAATTCTGATATTAAATAATGTAATAGATAGATAGATAACTACGGGCTGTTATCCGCAACTTGACGCCTAAGCGCGTATTTTACGTGTGGGGCAGGAATAATGCAATTATTCAAGCCATGAAATCTCCCCAAATAAATTCAAAAGTCCTTTGGTGTTGTGAGCAACTTCGGCGCGTGCCAAAATGTTTAGCCCTATATACAGAGACCTATCATGTCGGTTTCTATGTTACCATAGAATTTACGCCACCCTGTCGAGCGTAGATACCTGATACATTTTTTGTATACAGACTTAGCTTTCTTGTATAGAAGCCTTCATCCATTGAGGTATTCATGGCCCAATTTAGCGATTTTATTACCTCCTTACGTTTTCTATCTAGTTTTTTACCCCACCACGGTTGCTTTTCCTCAGCTTGCCTTGGTGGAGTGATTTCTGGACATGATTCATGGTAGCTGTCCATCACGGCTTTAGTAACAGCTGCTTGCTAGCTTCTAGGAGCAACTGATCTGCTATAGTGTTTTTCCCTCAAAACCCGCGAGCGACGACGTCAGCCTATTAACCTTTCAAACCCCTTAAAATATTAAAACTCCCAAGCGGTCGCATGCGTCCATCAAATGCCGAGCAGTCGCATGCGATCGCACTCACAACACTCACAGCACAGCAAGCACTGTACGAGGGCAGCACTGAAAATATCGGGAATCAAGGAAGTGACACAACATTACTATTTAAAAATGTATTTGTTGCTTTTCGAAGTATTCTCCGCGAAATTTGACACATTTTCCATACGATGGAACCAATCATTGAAGCAACCATTCCATTCGGAAGTTGGGGTCTCCAAAATGGCCGTTTTGTAGGCGTCCACAGCTTCTTCAGGTGATGAAAATCTCTGTCCACGCAATTTACTCTTTGTTTTAGGGAAAGTATAGAAATCATTAGGGCATAGGTCGGGGCTGTACGGCGGATGGTCTAATAATTCTATGTTTTCTTGCTCTAAAAACTCTTGTTCTGTGTGCGGTGTGAGAACTCGCATTGTCGTGATGGAGGATGATGCGGCGGTTGCAGTTCTCTTTACAGAGTTCAGAAACGACCTGTGGCAAACAAATGCTAGCATACCATTCTGCATTAACCGTTCTTTTTCCCTCAAGAGGAATAGTCGTATCATGGCCGGTTTTGGGAGACAAACGTGGCCAACAAATTTTTTTTGCAACGCTCCGTGAACGAACAATTTTTGTTGGCTTTAACTCATTTTCGAACACCCAAACTCGTGACTGGTTTTTTGTTTCGGATTCGTACGCGTATATCCAGGATTCGTCACCTGATACGATGTTGTATACAGCATTTGAGGATCCTGCGTGGAATCTTTCGAGAGTTCTGACGCACCAAGTAACGCGAGCCGCTTTTTGCTCTTCACAGAGCAAATGCGGTATCCGTCGGAAAAACAACTTTTTTACACGTAATGGTTCATGCAAGATTATTTGTATTTGACTCATGCCAATGTCTACAGTTGCCTGAATTTCGCGGTATGTCACATGTCGATCTTCCTTAATCAGCTTACGCACCGCATCAACGTTTTCTTGGGTGACTGCAGTTTTTGGACGATCTTGACGGGGATCATCACTGAGCTTGACACGTCCACGTTGAAATTCAGCAAACCAGCGATAAATTGTGGTTTTGGATCGTGGCTTCATCACCAAATGCAGAAATCATCCGGTCAACACACTGTTTTTGTGTTAAACCACATCGAAAGTCATAATAAATCATCGCTCTTGACTCTCCATTTTCTCAACAACTAAACAAGTTTGACAAAACCTTGTGACAAGACCGAGAATCTTTTCTTAAATAAATGAATGGTATTCGATTTTTAAAACCAAGGAGTTTTCAATTAAAAAGATTTTAATACGACAGGAACAGTGGAAATATTCCATTCCCGATACTTTTAGTTCAGCCTATGTAAACTATAAAAACTTATATTTAGAGACTACTTTTCTATGAAGAAGTTTTGCATTATAGAATCTATACGAAATTCTCTATCCTGTGGTCTAAATAAATCAGTTACTCTATGGATTTTTATTTTTAATCTACCGTAAAATTGCGCCATTTTCGTATGGTCGGCAAATGTCGCAAATTGACAGTAGAATAAAAATAAAAATCCATAGAGTAACTGACTTTTGTGTAGACTATAAAATAGAGAATTTCATATAGATTCTATAATGGCAAACTTCTCCATAGAAAAGTATTCTCTAAATATGTGTTTATGGTTTAAAATGCTGTGGGTGAGTGCGATCCGACCGCTTGGGATTAGACGGAATATCGCCGTGGTAGGATCCAACCAGGTAGGTAGGGTTTGAAAAATTAAGGTATTTTTTTCTATCCATCTTGCGGGGATTTTGCCATGGTGGTGTAGTGGGGATATCGACCTGTAGTATGGAATAGATCCATCTATGATCTGAGCGTAAAGCTACTCTCGACACATGCCATTCCGTAATTAATTTAGCTGCTCTCTCTGTTGCAAGTGTAAGGTCGATTATTGTTCGACAACGTTTGTCTATGATGATAAATATTTATCTAAGATATTCAGTAACACCTTAACTTTCATTGATTTTCCATTTACCAAGGATGATCTGTGAGTCGTCCCTAATCTTACGCAGAAATTCACTAGTCGTACGAGGTCATGAGGGGGGGGGGGTCTTCTTCTGGCGTGTAGACCGAGGCGACGGCTATTCTTGTAACGCAAAACACAGGAGTGTATTTTGTAATGATACATGTCTCTGGAACAGAAATCTGTTACTGGTTGTGTACATATATCTTTAGTAGTATATATATACGCTCTAGGCTTGTCAGGCTCAGAGTTGAAGAATAACTTACCTTTTACGTTGTTTAGGCATTTGATTTTACCAGCCCCAACCCACGGCTCTTGGATTAGGGCTATGGCCGTCCGTTGATGCTCCAACCACTTGCGTAGTTATGATGATGTAGCGAAAGGGCAGTTTCGCTGTGGTGGAGTTTGGCCTGCACAAGGCTCGTTTATTATGTTAAATTATTTATTTATTAATTGTACTTCATACAATATGATGTATAATATTGTGATATTAAATAATCCACCCAAATCATCAATCTCAATCCTTTTCATGTTTATTGTTGCATTTAAATTCGATTTAGTTCAAAAACTTGATACCGAGTTGCCAACATTGTGCCTCTGAAATGACACTACGGACAGTAAAATTATGTATAGTACCTACATAAGCGTAAATCCATGTTTTACTGCCACTAGTATGACATTCCGGACAGTAAAATAACCGTGTAATGCGTAAATGCACTAACTTTTTATAGTTTGACCATGGTTACTGTGAATATGTTTGTGCGCTACAGTGTGCAGCACTACGCTATGGGTGGGGCACCTGTCTAAGCTGGCGACCGCGGAGGAGCTTTCGGACTTGTTCGGCGCGTTCGGCGGCGTGCAGTCCATCGACGTGGTGGCGCCGCGCGGCTGCGCCTTCGTGGTCATGGAGCGCCGCAGGGACGCCGCACGCGCGCGCGAAAAGCTCGACAAGCACAAGCTGCACTCCAAGGAGATCACGGTACCCGCCACACACACACACACACACACACACACACACACACACACACACACACCTACACACGCACACGCACACACGCACACACACACACACACACACACACACACACACACACACACACCTACACACACACACACACACACACACACACCTACACACACACACACACACACACACACACACACACACACACACACACACACACACACACACACACACACCTACACACCTACACACACACACACACACACATACACACACACACACACACACACACACACACACACCTACACACACACACACACACGCACGCACGCGCACGCACGCACGCACGCACGCAAGCACGCGCGCGCACAAATTAACAGCCGATTTCTGTATTTCCTATTCTTTGGAAGTAGGCTAGAAATACTACGTAAACAGTAACAAATCGGATGCATTGTGTACAAATTTGGAAGAACTCAAAAACCATAACAAAACTATAGACTCTATATGTATAACTGAGCATTTTATGATGGCAGGACGCTAATTAAACCTAAATGTATTAGTCAGTTACTACTGCTCGTTTTCTTGGCTTAATTATAGACAGTAAATTAAATTGGAATATGTTCTACATTAACGTATTATGTAAAAAAATCATCAATCTTTCATACGCCCTTTAAATACTTTCTCCAATTTTTTTTTTGGGGAGAAAAAAAAAACCACACCGGAAGGTGCCAGAGACAAAAAAACCATCCCAGCAACAAGTAAAAAAAGGCGTCAAGCCACAAAAAACACGACACACCTCCGGGCGCGCCCCCCGCGAGCCCCACGCCCACTCAAACGCTAATTTATCAACACTGATGCGCTTTTCTCGGCATACTTGTCGCGAATGTCGCGAACGCGATTTAAATATGGGCAGAATTAATGTTGCTAAGAGAGCAACACTGGTATCGCGAACGCGATTTAAATATGGGCAGAATTAATGTTGCTAAGAGGGCAACACTGGTTGAGAGAGGGGGAAGTGACTTAAATGTTAGTGTCGAAGTAAGAGTCAGTTGGAAGTTGTGGTTCGAAGGAGACACTACTCTCCAGCAAGAGTTGCTGTTGCGTCTTGGCAAGGAGATATTGATTAAAACTACTTTTACGGATTTTATCGCGTTTTATTTATATTAATTTTAATACCCGACGTTTCGGGTGCTTTCCAGCACCCATGGTCACGGGGGACTGAGGTGACTGACGTCCCAATGTCAAAGTGAACCCGGAGTACCTTCAGCTTTTTAATTATTGTTTTTGGTCCGATCTACGCAGAATGAACTAACTGTATTTTGAAGTCTTGCAGTGGTATGCTTGGGTTTACTTTTAATTTTATTAATTATAGGATCCCAAGCAGGTGGTAGTACCCAGCCTCCTTCTCTATTGAAATTAGGATGTTTTTTAATTTCAATAGCCTCACGTATCATCCTTGGTAGGAATCGATGTTCTTTCGCGAGGATTTGTGGTCTATCAAATCTGATGTAATAGTTGGGGCCATCTAGAATATGATAACCAATCATGCGGGGAGATCTGTTCATGATTTTGTCTTGACATATGGTCTGACACAACTGGTTACATCACCTACGCGGATTCCAGATGTGGAGGATCATGCACCTTCCCTGTTGGCCCTTCTGCTGACATCTCATCCGGACAGATATCAGGTCTCTGTCGATGCCCCTCTTGGCTCCTCGGATCATTGTCTTGTCCGGAGTGTGGTGCCACTTACACTGAAATCGCGGTTGCATTCTGCAGGCTGCCGCCGTGTTTGGCACTATAGGTCTGCCGGTTGGGATTGGATGCGGTCTTTCTTTGCATCTTACCCTTGGGGGCGGGTTTGCTTCTCGCCGTACGATCCCAACGTTGTTGATGATTCTGTCGCTGATGTGGTACTTCAGGGTATGGAAGTTTTTATTCCTTTCTCTGTGGTGCCCATCGGAGATCTCAGCCATGGTTTTGTCGCTCCCGTAAAAAAGCATCATGCATCCTGCATGAATAAGCAGGAGTGCTACCGGGCCTCGGCTGACGCATCAACGTCCCAGGATGTAAACACCAGCACCTTAAAAAGAAGTATAATTCCGCCTCCAGGTCGAAAGAGTCATTGCCTAGGCAAAGTCAGAGCACATAGGCAGAATTGGCGAGAAACTACAAACTGGCTCATACCGCAAAGGAGAAAGCCGATCTGCTAGCCTCTTTCTTTACGTCCAACTCGACTCTCGATAACGGGGGGAACAATGCCCGTGAGCGATCCCGCAGTGTGAGTGCTCCATGCCGGATGTGCCGTTCACACAGCGCTCGGTCCTTCCTGGACATCCACAAGTCGAGTGGGCCTGAGAGAATCCTCACAATTTTGCTGAGGGCGGGTGCTCCAGAGTTGGCATCGGTTCTAACGCGTTCTTTCCGGTTTCGTCGGGATCGATCAGCTGGTGATCTTTTGGTCTACCTGACTCATCGATGGGCGAAGGCAGTAGAGTTCAAGGGGAGGCATTGGCTGTTAGTTTGTACATTGCGAAGGCCTTCGATCGGGTTTGGCAAAAAAGCGCTTCTTTCGAAGCTCCCTTCCTGTGGGCTTCCCGAGAAATTGTGCAATAGGATCACCAGCTTTCTTGCAGATCGGAGCATCAAGGTCGTTGTAGACGGTGCTCGCTCTGATTACAAGCCTATTAATCCTGGCGTTCCACAAGGCTGCGTGCTATCACCAACGCTGTTTCTTCTACATATCAATGATATGTTGCCAACCGGTAACATTCATTGCTATGCTGATGACAGCACTGGTGATGCTCTGTATACCGGCCGTGCCAATATTTTTCGGGAAAACGTCTTCGAGTACGGGGACAAACTTGTGTCTGAAGTCGAGTCTTTGCTGAACAAAGTCTCGGATGGGGGGCGACTAAATCTAGTCCAGTTTAACCCTCAAAAGACACAAGTTTGCGCGTTAACCGCACAAAAGAACCCCTTTGTCGTATCACCTCGATTTCAAGGCACTCCCTTTGTTGCCTCAGCCAGTATCTGGAACCTCGGAGTCGACATATCGAGTAATGTGCAGTTTCGTGGTCACTTGGAAGAGAAGACCAAATTGGCCTCTAAAAAGCTTGGCGTGCTCAGCAGAGCCTGACAGTATTTCATGCTGGCACACCGCCTACAATTTGAGAAAGCTCGGTTCGGCCTCACATGGAATGCTGTTCCTATCTCTGGGCTGGGGTTCCCCAGTGCCAGCTCTTTTTACCTGACCGCAACCAGCGCAGAGCGGTTCGAATCGTCGACGACCGAGTGCTTTCTGATCGGCTCGATTTACTGGTGCTACGAAGAGATGTTGCATCTCTTTGCATTTTCTTTCACATCTACCACAAGTGCTCTGAGGAATTATTCGGATTAATCCCAGTCTCTAAATTTCATGAACGCAATACGCGGAAAACCTCCCGATACCTACCATCCACACCATCTGGATGCTTGGCGGTCCACCACTGTACGTTTCACTAGGAGTTTTCTTCCGCGTACCACCTCTTTGTGGAATAGTTTACCACCGGTGATTTTTCCGGCCCGACACGACCTAGGGACCTTCAAGAAAAGAGCTTACTCCTTACTAAAAGACCGGCAGCGCACCTGCAATTCCCCTGGTGTTGCAGTTGTTCTTGGGCGACGGTAGTCACTTAACATCAGGTGAACCGTATGCTCGCTTGCCTCCTCTCCTATAAAAAAAAAACAGACAATATAAAATATCTAGGTTCCACGCTTGACACAAATTTAAATTTCCGCAAGCACATCGATTTACTTTCTACTAGAGTTCATAAATTAACAATATATATTTTTAATTGTCTCCGTAACATTGCTGACTTTAATTTGATAAGACAGATGTATTTAACTTTGTCTCAATCCATACTCACGTAGTGGGTTGGTGCTTCTAAAACAATATTGCTCCCACTAGAACGTGCTCGCTCAAAGAGCAGTTCTAAAGGTAACCACTTTTGGTCATTTTATGTTTCCTACTCATCAACTTTCGATTAATTTAACTTTAAATCCATAGACAGGAGAAGAAAGGACTTAATTTGTGTAAACTCTTAAACCAAACATGCTTTTGTAAATAGATTTTACATATTTTTAGGACCATTTCTATATAACAAGCTCAACAAGTCACTAAGGATATATAGTGTAAGTTATAAGAAATGTAAAATAATTTTATGAGGAGTATTACAAAAAATCGCGAAATTACAATGTTTCCTCGTTGAAATTATGTTTTCCGTTCGTTACTTGAAATAACAACTACTTGGTAAAAATAGTTCGTTTTCTCTACTACAATAAGCTCAAGGCAAAGTTTAGATAACTTATTTATATATTTAGTATTAATCATTCTCCCGATGCATGTTTAGGCCAAAACTCTGAGAGACATGATTTGTAGATTCTATTGAATAACAACAATATCAAAAGGAAGGATAGGCCCATCTAAATATTTTACTCATATCTTTTTCATACAAGAAAAAGTAGAGCATCTGTCATAATACAAACGTCATATCAAAACACGACGTAACCAGGGTCGGATTTCGTAATATAATTATCCTAATTGTACCATTATTTCATAGTTTGTAGTATATAGTATCGTATTAATACTAAGCGAAAAATCCCATAATTTTACTCAAAGGTCAACTTGCATTATTATTGGGTCCTTTTACATTTTAATATTAACTCTACGATATCGAGTATTTCTGTATTGTACATGAGTACCGCGTTTTTTTAATAAAATTAGAATCAGCTGCCTTTCTGGTCAATCGATTTTTTTTTGTTTGCATCCTTGATACAACTATAAAGAGATACCACGATAAAAACTCCAGTGACTCCAGTTAGAGTCCAGTAGACTGATTGCTCCAGAAGCAATCGGTTTGATAACAGAATTACAAAATATTTTATGATGGTTTCAGATTCAACATTAAGCAGATATGGTTTCTTTTGTACTCTTTTTGTTTTACCCTTATTGAATATAAATATATATTATTTTATATTTATTATTTATAGTTCTTTAGACAAAAATTAAACAGAAATAAAAATAAAACCGTCAAAAAACGAAACGTATAGATAAACTAGACGCGTGACGCCAAAATCCCGGCATATGGGAAAAATTAAACATTAAACATGAAACGTCAAACGTGATATAATTTTTTTAAATAGTGTAATTTTATTTTCCGTGTACAATATTTTTGAGGGTCTGAATTCAACCCTGACCTAAACTTGGTAACGTAACTAAACTAACTGTAAAATAAAACTTTAAAAAAGCGTTTATATAATAATTTAATTGTAACAAAATTAATATAAGGTTATTTACCGATGATACGATATGCCATGTGTTTTTTAAATCTTTTTATCGTTATTGTTGCATTCTTTTACCACGCAACTAGACATATTTATGACAGGAAAATCTATTCGCGTTGACCCTAAACTTTAATTTAAGGGCACAATGGTCCCTTTTAGTTGTTCGGTCGGCCCGGTCCTTACGCTAGTAATATATAAGTCAATGATTGAATATCGGCCATCAAAAAAATATTTTTATCTCACAAATGTCCTATACTTTAAAAAAGATAAAATACATTTTCGTTATGCCTTTCACGTAAGGAAAAAAATATCGACATAATTAAATTCAAATCTAGGTACCGAAAAAGCTTCGATATAAGTCCCCATATCTGCGAAGTTCTACATCATTTTGACGTAAAATTTATACCAGAATAATCATCAACATTTGCTTAAACTGTTACTATTCTTTTTTAACAATTTAATTAAAAGTACCATATATTTCACTGCGTCGGCCATCTGAGTTCACTATCGCGCCAGCGGCTCATTATTTCGCGCGCTCTGTCTCGTTTCGATATTATCTTAGTGTGCGTCCATGACCGTGGCGTTGCTATTTTGTGCTTGAGTATCGTCAACTACGCCCGCAATTTTTAATCTTTGAAAGTATTTACTTTCGTACAGTATATTTCAATTAGTATAAAGTTCGCACATTATTATTATACTAAATAGTTAACTCATAATCGTTATTTTGGTTGTAGCTGAGCTTTCTTATCAATCGGAATGGAGAAAAGTAAAGACAAGTATCAATGTGTCACTAAACGTAAAAAAAAGAAATATCCTTTCTGTGGAGAAAAAATAATGGGGAATAAAAATGTCTGCATGCTTGCCATACGGACTGGCCCAGATTATGCAGTAAAAGTACTAAAAATCTAAAAAGACGACAAATTTTGGAGTTTGAGTATGTTAGCCAAGTTCCAAGCGTTTTATAAAAAGTGTGTACTGCCTGAAATTATTGAGTCGAGATAAGCTCGGTCAATGTCGTTGCGGCAAATATTTTTGTAATAAAAATATGTTAATTGACAGTAAGTGATGATTAAAAAATGTAAGTTACAGTTGGTTATTTTATTAATTAAAACAAGTTGCAACCGTACTATTTATTTATTTGTACCACTATGCTACTGTTAATAGATATAATCGATTATTAACCAACATCGGTTAACAATCGATTACTGTGAAACAATTAAAATATTTATGTGTACTTATTTCAACACTAAGGTTCATAAATAATGAAAAATATATCAAATAGATTATAATAACTTAAAAATGACACACCAAAAATGTTCCATCCACTGAACTCCATCCTAAGAAAACTTGCATAATGGGAGATCAAGATCGTTTAGTCGCTATACTCACAGTACCATAGTGCGAGCGAGAGAAAAGAGATATGAAATAAGTATCGCTCGCGTATATCATCGCCCGCTCGGAGCGTAAATACCTAAATTTGCGTAACGCCGAAATGTAAGAGGGCTCTTAAGGGAATTTCTGAATAAATTAAATTAGAGACACAGAGAAGTTGTTAGAAATTCTAAAATAGTTTTGTATTAATTATAGTTAACAAATAAAAAACAATTGTTATTCAGTTATTCTGTTTATTATATAATATAGTTTTATTTATTTTTTAAGAGTACCCTTAACCGACGAGCATGTTTGCGTAGGTATATGGATGTGGAAGAGGCGAGAGAGGTATGTCAGGATCGTGCTAAATGGAAGTCTGTAGTCTCTGCCTGCCCCTCTGGGGGACAGGCGTGAGTGTTTATGTTTATGTTTAATTATTTAAATTATCTAGTGTACTACGTTATTAAAACCCATAGTGTGAGTGATGGTCTGAAACACAGGTACTCAACCTAGTTCAGGCAGGTAGCTAATATCATAAACTTGACTTTTCAATTTTTCTTTTGTAGATTCTACATTATTAAGCTACACATAGTTTTAATTTTTATTATTGCTTGTTATTTTTATTAGACTTATTGTTACTTTATTTAATTATAATCAAATTTGTTTCTGTATATAAACATGTGTAATTGGAAATGAAATAAAAATTATTTATTTAAAAGAAATCCGTTGTATAGCTATCTCATAATATCGTGTTATGAAGTCATTGCATCACTTTCATCTTGACACTCTCATTCGTTCGTGAGCTCCGACTAAGGGATAAGCCACGTCCCCAAAACTGTGATTAATTTTCAATTTATTATCTTAAGGTTAAATGTGTCATCATAGTGAGAGAAATGTTGGTCTATAGCTGTTTCGGCTTTTTGTTCTTAATTATTCAATTTCTAGAGCGGATATTCTACTAGCGTTATTGAAATGTGTAAATTCCTGTGATGCATGATGATAAACTATTAGTTATGATGTAGATGAAGAGAACGTGTTGACTGTTTTGCAGGTTGCGTGGGCGGCGGGCAAGGGTGTGAAAGGGCGCGAGTGGAAGGACTACTGGGAGGCGGAGTTGGGCGTGGCCTACCTGCCGTGGGACGCGCTGCACCAGCGCTGGCTGCTGGGCGCGCTGTCGCTCGACGCGCTGGAGGACGGCGGCGCCGTGGACGAGGACACGCTGCCGCCCTGGCTGCCGCCCCGGGTACGTACTTCATGGGCTGGCTCCACCGCGGCAGGACCGCGCTCTCACAGAATACCAGCGTAAAATAGCAGCTTTATGCTGCTGTGTTTTGTATAGTGAGTGAGGAGAACCGGAGACTCTTTGTACTGGAAATGATGCATTTTTTATTGTTATTTCTGTAGAAGATGAAGTAAACGAGCATGCGGCTCACCTGATGGTAAGTAAATACCGCGGCTCATGAACAATCGCAACACCAGGAAAAATGCAGGTGCGTTGCTGGCCTTTTAGAAAGGAAAGCTCTTTTCTTAAAGGTCTCCAAGTCAAATCGGTCTCCGTAAAAATCCTGGTTGTAAACAATTCCACAAAGAAGGTGTACGAAAAAGAAAACTCCTAGTAAAACGCTTAGTCGTGCACCGCCAAGCATCCAGATGGTGTGGATAGTATCGTGAATTTTGACGCGATGTGCGGTCGTGAAATTTGGCGGCTGGGATTAATCCGAACAACTCTCTAGAGCACTCCCCGTGGTAGATGCGAAAGAAAATGCAAAGAGATGCAACAACTCTTCGCAGCGCCAGTCAATCGAGCCGATCGGAAAGCACTCTGTGGTCGACGATTCGAGCCGCCCTGCGCTGGATGCGGTCAAGTGGAAGGAGCTTGCACTGGGGTGCCCTGGCCTAGAAATGAGAACAGTTTTCCATATGAGGTCGAAATTACGCTTTGTAAAGTTGCAAGCGATGTGCCGGCATGAACTGTCTCTATCTGCTATGCAATCCAAGCTTTTTAGAGGCCAATTTGGCCTTCCCTTCCAAGTGATAACGAAACTGCACACTATTCTAAGGCAGCAAGGGTGCCTTGAAACTGATGAGATACGACAAATGGGTTCTTTTTAGCGGTAAACACGCAAACTTGTGTCTTTTGGGGTTGAACTGGACTAGATTTAGTCCGATCCGAGACTTTGTTCAGCAAAGTTTCGACTTCAGATACAAGTTCGCCCCGGAACTCGCCGACGTCTTTCCGAGTAATAATGACACGGCCGGCATCACCAGTGCTGTCGTCTGCATAGCAGTGAGTGTTACCAGTTTGCAACATATCATTGATATGCAGAAGAAACAGCGTTGGTGATAGCACGCAGCCTTATGAAACACGAGCGTTAGTAGGCTTGTAATCAGAGCATGCGTCGTCTACTACGACCTTGATGCTCCGATCAGCAAGGAAACTGGTGATCCATTTGCACAAATTCTCGCGAAGCCCATAAGAAGGGAGCTTCGAAAGAACCGCTTTGTGACTTACAGACTTTCATTTGATACGATCCTGACACACTTTTCTCGCCTCCCCCACATCCATATACTTACGCATACATGCTCGTCGGTTGAGGGTACTCTGAGTTTGGCCCATTTTCAATATATTTCCAATTTGTTCGACAAATTTTCGCCTAAGGTGTCGCTTACCGACTCTGTCGTTCACTTCTGCAACATAAATTTGCTTTGTCACTCTTTCCTCATTCATTCTTTCCACATGACCACACCACCAAAGCATTCCTTTCTTAATCATCGTCACAACATCATCTTGCCGTACCACACTCTTCTTTTATCATACAATTTCTCACTCTGTCACTCAGATTCAGCCCTAACATACTCCTTAACGACCCCATTTCTACTGTTTTTATTCTATTCTCGTGCTTCTTCTACCACACCCAACTTTCACTACCATACGTTAAAGGGGTAGGGGGGGGGTAGGGAATAACACAGCATTGTGAATTGCCATACGTGCGTTTTTTGACATATTTTGACTTTCTACAATAAAGTGTAGAGTCCCATTTACTTTATTTACTGCATTCACTCGTCGTTCTATATACTTATCATATCTCCCATCCCTGCTAAATACACATCCCAAATATACAAACTCGTCTACTTGCTTATACATTTCACATATTCTTTACAGTTCATATATTATTTATCTTTTAACTTATGCCATGCTTATCAGATTTATTATTGAAAAAAAAAAGAATACAATGAAAATGAGCTCTAACGTCGGCGGTGTCCTGCAGATAATCCCGAAGGCGATGATGGACGGCATGCCGATGATGGGCACAATGCCGCTACCGGGCGTGCCTGGCGTGCCGGCGGTACCGGGCGTGCCCAGTGTGTCGGGTGTGCCGGGTGTGCCGGGCGTGCCGGGTGTACCGGGTGTACCGGGCGTACCGGGTGTTCCGGGGGTGCCTAGTGTGTCGGGCGTACCGGGCGTGCCTGGTGTACCGGGCGTACCGAGCGTGCCGGGCGTGCCGCACGCAGCTGCGCTGCCCGTACCCGTACCCGTGCCCGTACCGCGCATGCCTCCGCCTGGGTAAGTCGTTACATTGTTTCGTTTTAATTTAATTAAAATAAAACAACATATAAGAATTTATAAACTCAGGGTCGGAGGTCGGGTACTGTTATTGATTTCAATCTAATTGCCTTCGCAACAATATTCTCCTGCATTCTAGTCTGCCTCTTCTTACTGTCATGCATTGAATATTAAAATGAAGAACTTTAATCGTGCCAGCTGCTGTCCAGTGAGCTCAGCTGTCTGCCGTTCCTTGGTCACAAAATTAGTCCAGAGGGAGTTCCTGAGGATATATGCATTCTTTATTCATTGAGTTATCACTTCGCGGTTTTTTGCTGCAACAATCAGGGCATAACTAACTCATCTTGGTATCAGAAGAGAGTCTCGCGGATTCGGTGGGCGAAACACCAGCGCACAGGCCACGATAAAAACATAAACAGGTGTAGCTTTCTAAGAAATCATAATCGTCAATCGTTGACTCACAAGCGGCTCATTGATAAATAACTGGAATTGCCGGTCGGGCCGCGCAGGCAGCACCAGCGGGCGCGGGAGTGGGACAGCAATATGTCGACAGTCTCTTATCGCGGCGGCGGTGCGGCAGCTCGTCCCGCAAATTCACAGCCGCGCTACAGAGCTGTTTTATTTTAAATGTTTATTATACACGCACTACTAGGGCACACTGAAATGATCGGGAATGGAATATTTCTGATTGAGTTACAATAAAACCTTTTTTAGAATTTGAATACTGGCCTCTTAGAATCTTAATGGCAATCAAACACTAAAAAATATTAAATAAAACGAAAACTATGTAGGTTTAAAGTTGACACGTCGTTAACAGAAATGGAGCACACGCGTGAACATTTCCGTGCCATAATTTATCACAATTTTCGTCGCGGCTTATCTCAAGCTAAATGTCTCTGCGAACTGTTTTGATTTATGACGTTGAAGCACTGAGTCAAACGACAATACACCGCTGGTATGCCGAGTTCCGACTCGGTCGTGTCAGCACTGTTTCTCCTGCAGGTCGACTAAGAACAGCGGACACGCCTGAAAACATAGCAGCTGTGCGAACTATTATATTAGATTAGCGTCATGTGACATACGAGCAGATTCGGGCTGTTATCAGTATCGTAATGACTGCAATTCAGTCGATATTCATAATGAGCTGTGTGTAAGAAAGCTAGTTTCCTGCTGGGTTCCCCACAATTTGTCCGAAGAGCAAAACGCGGCTCGTGTAGATTGGTGCCGGAATACTCTGCAACGCTTCGACGGAGGGAAGTCGAATGCCGTTTATAATATCGTCTCAGGTGACGGATCGTGGATTTATTCATACGAACCCGAAAGAAAACATCAGTCAGCAGTTTGGGTCTTCGAAGACGAGGTCAAACCAACGAAAGCGGTTGACTCCCGCAGCGTGTCAAAGAAAATGGTTGCTACGTTTGTCTCGAAAAAGGGGCATGTTGCTACAATTCCTTTACAGGAACGCAGAACGGTTACCGCTGAGTGGTATATCACGGTTTGTTTGCCAGAAATTATAGCTGAACTCCGAAAAAATAACCCGAAACGTTGCGCCATCTTACATCACGATAATGCGAGCTCCCATACGACTCGGAAGACAAATGATTTTTTGAAGCAGGGAAACGTTGAGCTGATGAGCTATTCTTCGTGCAGTCCTGACCTGAGCTCAAACGATTTCTTTACATTCCCTAGAATGAAAGATTTATTACGCGGTCAACGGTTTGAAGACCCCGAAGCAGCTGTGGAAGCGTAGAAATCAGTCGTTTTGTCAACATCAACTTCAGACTGAAATTACTGTTTTAATGATTAGTTTGCACGAATGGAAAAGTGTATTAAGTTGAACGGAGAATACTTCGAAAAACAATAAAATACAATTTAGCTATACCGTGCATGTGGTTTTTCTTATTCCTAATAATTTCAGTGTGCCCCTCGTATGCACTTACGACCACATTACTACGTCGTACACCTGTTTTTAGTCACAGATTCGCGCGCATTGACTCGGGTGTTTCTTTAGTTAGTCCGACAACACGTTCACTAAGAAAACTTGTTCGGGTGAGAAGGAATTTTAGAACGATTTTATAGGTAATGTTATTTTATTTAACTTAAATATACAGTATTTATTATTTTAAGCTATTGCATAGCTTCTATCGCGGGCCTTGAGCGCGGGGACCGAATCCTGAAATTCCGTAACGAAAAAAAACCTCACGCTCCCCACTCCGACGGGCACGGAGGTGTGGCGTTGAAAGCCGTGCATCGTCTAACGTCGTTTTAGTTCGGCAGACTTCGGCACTCGGCAGAGTTCGGCACGGTGTTTGTGTGCGTGTACACTAGCTGCTAACTCAATGATAAAAATTCCTGAATAACCTACATGTATTGTAAGATATTAAAAATATTTTAAACAATATTAACTTCTCATTTATTCAATAAGAGAAAAAAAAATTGTTTTCTTATCGGTCACCACGCTCAAAAAGTGTAACTTGATTTAATATCAAAGACTTAACTGCATAAATAAAATAAATAAATAATTATAATTGCAAGTTGATAAAAAATGCTATGCAATAGCTTTACCGCGGCAGTCACCGAGTGCCACACGTATTTTTTTTATATATTTATATAAGTACCAATTAGATGAGAATACTACAACATATCCCTAAATAATAATAGCAACTTGAATTACTAGTAATCTAGTAGATGGATGGCAATACGGAAGATTTTACAAACTATACATTTATAACCAAAAGCTTTGTTGCTTATATTATATTACTAAATAATACATATTACAACTAAAGAAATCATTTCTAATAAAATGCAAATAGTAAGCGTCTATTTCTACATAGTTATCACAACTTACCCAGTATGGGAATCACCTTAAGAACAATTAAGGTATATATTTTTCAGAGTAAAATATTTAGAAGTGACTAAAAGTACCTACACAAGACTGTCAAAGATCTTATGCTCAAATAAAATAAAATCAGCGCGAGTGCTCGTCAAAATCAACGTCAACGAGGTGAGACGTCGGACATGCATAGGCTAAAATCCCATGGTCTTTCATCTTCGCCGCATATTGGCAGGGCCACGGACACGCTTTCGCACACATCTGCAGCCCCACTAGCGCCAGCTGCTCCATGGAAGCCCCTCCTCCGGGGAGAACTTCTCCTTCTCCTCCCCACTCTCCTTCTCAGGAAAGGCGCACCAGGAACACAAGGCACGCCTTTTTCTACGGCCTCCAACTCCACCTGCGTAAGATTCCCCACCGAATTCGATATGCAGAGGCCATGGGCCATGGGAGAAGAGCAACGCCTCGCGATATCGACACTCTCACCCCGCGGCCCCACCACCGCTGCATCAACGGTGCGGCTCCGATACAGTCGTAGAGGATAGCGCGAGAGGTGTATTCCCATACCAATACTCCTGTTCCCCCGCGACTCCACCTAGGTTGCAACGGTAGGGAGAGAAGACACTCCTCTCGCCTCAGCCCATCAACACACATCCAAAGTGGGCTACCTCGTGCCGGCCCTACACCACGGGCCATCGCGGGTGACCACGCCACGGCTACTAGGCACGACAAGCCGAGAACCCGTTCGGGGGGGGGGGGGTTGCAAAATGCCACTTAACAGCGGCTTTGGTCTTAATAGAAAGGCGTGCTAAGAGATCTATTGGTGACACCAATATAGTTAAAACCAATCTTACCAGTTTCGAGCAAAGGTGAAAACTAGTTAGCCTTTTATTGTTTTATTTTACGCAGAAATTGCACAACTTAATCTTGCCCATTTCATCATCGGACCACCAGACACTAAGCTAATCAACCAAATGGTTCGTTTCATTGTTCATAATGAACTGTCACATGTCACTACGTTGCGCAACATAATTGCAACATCTGCGAATTCACCGCCGTCGCAGAATGTAAATACGACACCCGGTAATCTAAATAGTAGTCATATTTCACCGATGATTGCGACTCCGTCACGCGATACCGTCTGTGAGCGGGTTGATGACCGTGAAACTAGGGCGACCCCATTGCATCACCACTTCAGCCCTTGACTGAACCCTTGAGTACTCTTCCGCCGAAGCCAACCTGTCAACAAGGAAAGACGTTTGCGGATGTTGCTCGAAAATCTTCACAACCGTTACCCTCATGTGGTCGAAAACAAAAGAATGTGGATTTAAAATCAGTTCCTGTGGTGACCCGAACCGAGAGAGAGAATGACTGGTTTACTCTTGTTGAGAAGAGACGTCGGTTGAGACCCGTCTGTAACCAGCGTGGGACTGCCAAAATAAACGCAAGTACAACTCTGCGTATTGTGGAGCCCACATACAAGAGTTACTTCGTTTATTTTGGCAGTCCCATTCAGCTTTACATCTCCCGTTTGGACAAAAGTACGTCGTGAGAAGACGTCCTGGATTTCGTGGAAGAATGAAGCCGATGCCGCATAGAGGATCCGATTTCTTTTACATTTACAGCGTCTGGAGTCTAAGAGGTCCACGAACTTCAAATCGTACGTACTCTAGGTTCCTGCAAAATACAAAGAGACATTCTTTGCTCCCGATTTCTGGCCCTCTGGGGTAGTGTTTCGCCAATACATGGACGCGCCAAAGAAGAAAGTTCCCTAAATAGTGTTATATTTATATTTTATATATATTTTTAGGTTAAGGTATTTATTGATATGGGCCAATGTTCTTAATTTTTAAGTCCCTGATGCCTGAAATAAAGTTATTGTATTGTATTGTATAATGCGTACAGCAAAGGAGTAAATTAGTTTGCCAGCGTTTGTCAATTCCATTCGATTATAGTGTGGTTGTTTAAAGCTAGAGTAAGTAGGTACATTTAAATAGGTTTTTATAAGGTTAAGCGTCTACTATGCATAATGATTTCTTATATTTACGCGAACACTACACATTTAAATAAAACTAGTTTTTACGGATTTTATCGCGTATATTTAATTTTTTAAATACCCGACGTCCGAGCACTTTACAGCACCCATGGTCACGGGGAAGACTGACATGTTCAACGTCTTAATGTTATAGTTAATCTATGGTAACCGACGTTAACTATGACATTAAGACTTTGAACATCTCAGTCTCCCCCGTGACTATGAGTGCTGTAAAGTGCTTGAAATGTCGAGTATTTAAAATATTAAATATACGCGATAAAATCCGTAAAAACTAGTTTTATTTAAATGTCTGCTATGCAGTTTTGTTTTAAAGTGATAAAATGTTTTACAAGTTATCATCATCATTATTAAAAGTCTATTGCTAAACATAGACCTCACTTGTAAATTTCCTCATAGTAAGTATGGTCAGGCCTCTATCACTCTTGCTACCTACATGAAATAATTACCTAAAATCGCGACGCGCCCGGGCGAAAAACGCTGTCAGGGCTAGCGCGTTGGAGGCGATTGAATGTTAAAGTTTTTTAACGCTGTTTACTTACTTTAACTAATATAATAACTTTTTGTAAATAATGTTGAAATAGTTTTTTTTTTAGTGTTTAGTATATTTAATTATATGATAAAATAGTTCAAAAGTTTTAATGTAATTTAAGAACTATATATTATGTATATTATATTACCCATTATTTAATAAATTTTAATATTGCAAAACGTCGTTTCTACTATAATTGTTGCGTTGATAGACGCTAAATGACCAACAAAATATTTCAGATATATTACTCTTAATTACCGAAGGATTTTAGTAGGAAGTTATGAAACGTGAACTTATTTAATTTTTATTGTTAGATAGGTACTTAAAGCAAAAAAGAATTAAGTAATAATTTATTTAATATCTACGAACTTTATTACAAAATTTTGTAGAAATTTACTTCACTATCCAAGTATCCACTTACGTACATATACTTGCCTTTTGTATTAAAATATTTTAAGCTGTTATTTTAGCTTAAAATATTTTAAGCTAAAATGACACAAAACAATGAAATCAAAACTTCGTTTACTAACAAAATTTTTATCTAAGTCGAATACGATTACATTTCTGTTAGGAATCGTATTTCAAGTTTATTTGTTGTTTACACCATTGATTTATATTAACTCAATGGTTTATACTATCTACCTTTTCCTTCCGATCCAAGCGTCGCGATTCCCAACGACTGGCCTTGCAAGTTGCATGCGTTAGGCATCGCAGAACTCACATAGGTGCGAAAATATAGTCTGTCGATCATAGTCAGAATAAGTATTTCACCTAAGTAACCTAATTAATATTTTGCAATGTATTTTGTTACTCTTTATGTACGTAGGAAGAGGAAAATGTGCAAAGTAATACGGACACTCTCGCGCAGCGATAAATTTTTATTTAGCTTGCGAGCGCGATTTATCTAATTAATAATAATTATGTAGGCTATTAAACGTCGGCAAGCAGTCAACATTAAAAGAGTGAAACTTCTGTACGTAGTACTATTATTTATTCTGTGGTGTGGTATATATCGCCCAAATTTGCCATAGTTTCCATGTTTGGCAAGCGGGTTGGTCAGTTGCATGCAGTTTTCTTTATTATTTTGAGTTATTATCAGAAAGATGCGACTGTCCATCTTTTCTTTCATTTCCTTCATCTTCACACTCGTGGTATGATATAGGGTAGTACACATGCCTTATAATGGCCGCGTAAGAGAAAGTCATCTGTAACAGAAGTGAAGCGGACTCGTAGGAAGTGAATTGTATTAATTTATAAACTGTTTATAATAAATATTTTATTGGCGTTTCTATTGAAAAAATTAAAGAATGAAAGAGGGCCGGATACATAATTTATTTAATTATTTACAAAGGCGGCATTTTATTATTAATTTACTAGCACTGTGAGGGTGATCTTCCAGAATAGAATAATTTTTTTCCACAGATCACAATGTAAACCTTATTGTAGAAATCCAGCGGGACTTTTTCTTAAGTAAATTTTACAAAATTTGGTTAGATTTATATTCAGCTCTTATAATTCAAATTCAAATTTAAATTGTTTATTGCAGGGCTAACTATTTTCGTATTATCTAATTTTTAAACATAAATTACAAATTATCATATCATCAACATTCAATATTATTTTATATAAATTAATTTAATTTGAAATACAATATACCTAGTCAAAGTATTTTTACCTTGTCGTTATTTATTGTCAAAAAATTCATTTAAATGATAATAACATTTATTAATAAGAATTTTTTTTTAATTGTTTATTAAATTTTACAGGATTTTCCAGGATTTTTATGGAATTCGATAATTAGTATATTCTACTGTAATAACTCTTTTTATACAAATATTCGTTTAATAAAATATTTAAATTTAGTAATAGAGAGACCTTTTATATTTTGTGGGGTTTGTTGTTGTCTGTAGCTATTATGTGGTGCGAATATTCTGCGTCCGCCTTTATTCTCCCGGCGCGGGGATGCGGGGGGCGTGTCGTGGTCCGCGTGCTGCTGCGGGGATGGGGGCGGCTCTCCTCGCCGCCCGCAACAACTGCCAGTCTTCAATCAATAATAAATTATTTTGTCAATAGAATGACTCCGGGCATCCCGCCGGGCTTTGCTCCAGGAATGCCGCCTGGAATGAGACCGCCCAGTATACCAACAGGAGTGCCAGGTGACTAGTTTTTTTTAGCATACCCAGCTTTCAAATATGAACATGGACCGTTATAATTTCGTTCTCGTCAAAACTACAAATTTTCGATCAAATAATTTGAGGGATATCTGAAGCTAGCTTAGCTAGCTATATAGTTCGAAAACCCGACAACCGTTGGGGGAAAAAAGTTCTTGAGCCTTATACCAGTACTAGAAGTTTAGGGCGACTCCCCATTAAATAGTGACAACCTAATAAGATTCAGATAGTCGATGAATGCAAGTGGCTCAGGACCTTGCATTGTGACATTCCTTGAGCTTATGATGATCATTTATATGACATATTATATTTACTAAATAAAATATATGATACTAACTTGCCAGGCAGACGTTGTTCTGCCCTTTTCGACGACCCTTTGTCATGTCTTATTAAAAATCCTTAAATTCGCAAAAAAAATTGTGGGTCACTCATGGGCAAAAAAAAACTATCCTATCTCTCAAGTTGGACCAAACTGCACACGGTGTGCAAATTTGATTAAAATCGGTTAAGTAGTTTAGGAGTCCATCGCAGACAAACAACGTGACACTTAATTTATATATATTAAGATATTTGACGGCTCAGTATATAATGGTTAAGTGCAGGATCTTATCCCGCATTGAAAATATGTTTGTATGTCTTACAAATAAGGGTCTGGATATCTGTTCGTGTACAATTTGTCTATTAAACGCCTCCACGATTCTACAGGCGGAAAATCCTTATAACACTCAAAAAGGTTACGTTTATTAAAAGAAAATAGTCTTTAAACAGTGTATCGTTTTCCGTTTGCACTGTCAAACAAGGGAGACTCGCGGGGACCGCCGTAGCGAACGGACGCGCGCAGCGGAAAGCTCCCGAGAGCCGATCCGCGCACGACCCACGCACTGCGTGTGGTATCTTGAAATTTTGTGCTGTTCTTAAAACAATCCACATTGGAACGAGACTTGAAGTGATTAGAAAGTGAAAAATCATGAACTGTGAGGACACCAGAGGGAGCACCCACTGGGATTCACCACAAGAAGTAAGACAGGCAACACCCAACAGAATTAGTGAATCAAGAGTAATAGGAAACATGCTCTCGAAAAACAACAGTGAAAGTTCACACAACTCTAATGATATGGACACGGATCTACTTAGTCTAGACACGGACAGTAAACAAGTGAAGGACAAAGTGAAAAAAAAGAAAATGGACCTCAATGGGTTAAATAAAAGATTGCGAACAATACTTCCAAACGGACGGGCCCCTGTGGGGTACCAATCAAATGAAACACGAGAAAAATCCAATATAAGGTATTAATGGAAAGCTTTCTCATAAAGGCGGCCACTAGTATAGTGCCCAAATTCGAAAAAGAAACAGTAAAAATCGAAACTACCATAACAATATACACAGCCTTGCTAAAAACCGGAGTAAGCAACTTTCGTGCGTGCGTGGACTGTAAAACAAAGAGAGAATTGATCACCCTACCGATAGACGCATTTACATCGGAAGGAATGGTTCATCTGTAAGTGCGGCAAAAATCAATGCGCACTTATAAAAACCACGGCAGAGGATTCAAGCCCGTCTCTAACCACCCAAATAGGCAAGAAAAAAAGAAATCGTAAGGTCAGAACGACAAATAATACCGTCGAACTTTGCACGCTAAATACATACCAGGGCGTAGGCTTACAAGAGCCAGTGCACGTGCAACGAACGAGGTTAGAGCCGACGAACGGCACATGCAAGCCGCTCGCCGCCCGGACCACCCCCTGCCTCACCGCAGGGGAACGACACAGCGTGCGAGCGTCTACGCTAGTGAACAAAAGAAATGACACCATCGCCCAAAGCCACACGACCACGGCGCGTACCACCTGCGCGACCGAAACAACCCAGAGTTTGGCCGCCACATGTAACACCCAACGCGCGGACAGGCAAACCGAGGCCAACTCGGAAACAATCTATAATATACCGTTAGCAAACAGATTTGAAACGCTACAAAACGAAAATAGAGGAATAAAAAGACAACGCACCGGAACAGATAGGTTCGTGACGCCCGCACAGAAAAACACACATATCCCTGATATAATAATTAGGGATGAAAAAATAATGAAAGACCAACGCGCCCTCAGATTTATAAGAGAGGCGACATCAACAAATACTTCAATGTTTAGAGTGACGAACGGACAAATAAAAATCAACCCGGGGAGCTCAGCAGCCCGGGAAGACATTCTCACGAAAATCCAAGTGTGCGAACCATCAAGAATAATAGCACCAAAACCGAAAGCGGACATAACCGGCGACAAAAGTGGTGCTGAAAAATGAAACATACGGTGAGGACACCGAAATAATCGCAGAAGAGATAGCGAAATGCATTGGCATTAAACCGATATCAATAAAACCGCTAGGAAAAGCAGGTAAAATACACCTATTGATTTTTGAAAATAAATATGAATACTCAATAAATACTAAAGAGCGTCCTGGAAGCATTCAAACCCGCTGACAGGAAGTTCTTCTGCGCCCCTTCCATAAAGGTAAAACCATTCAGAGAAAACCCGAGACACATAGTGCAATGCAAGAAATGCTATGCATTTGACCACTCGAAACAGTCTTGCTACGGCAGACAAGAAAAATCACAAATCAAAATCAATACACCCGAGGGCACTACGACGATGGTCTGCAAAAACTGTAAGAAAGACGGACACAGCGCGAACAACGCTACCTGCCCGATATTTCAAAAAATGATATCCAAACAAATGGAACAAGCGAAAGCCAAACAGACTAAACAAGAAGAGAGAATCAGACGTGCGACAGTCAGACCTGGAGTCAGATATGCGGACGTCTCAAGCAAAAGACAATTCCCCGTCTTGCCACAGAAGGAGCCGACACTATCACAGGGGGGAGCAGGCAATGTTACCACCGATGAACGAAACAACCATAGAAAGCCTCCACCTAAGACTGGAGCGAACGGAACAACTACTAATGAAGCTCATAGAAACCATGAGTAACACACAACGACAGACCAATGGCTAATCACGACAAAAAAAGAATACAGAACCTCAAAATCCTACACCTAAATGCACAAGGACTGAGAAATAAATTCATTGAAGTTAAAAAAGCTGGCAGAAAAATACAGGCCAGCCATAATAGTGATAAAAGAATGCAAAATCGACTTCGACAGGGAGAAGTTTAACATGAAAGGATACGATAAAATCACACACTCGCTTAAAACCCACTTAACCACGGCCATGTACATACAAAGGGGGCTAAGATGGACCGAAACAGAGGTCACACCGGGGTGGGGAGAGGGCACAAGAAAAATTGAAGGCGTGGGCATCAAATTTTTCACAGACCACGCGACTGGACAATACATAAAAATAAAAGGGACCTACTTTCAAATCCCAAATCAACACCAAGCCAGAGAAGAGCTTGAAGAAACATTGGCAGACGAACCAACGATCATAATAGGAGATCTGAATCTACAGATGCGCGCGCGCCCTGAACCAAAGAAGAGACGCAGGCCTAGGCATTTTCTAATCAGGAAAGCAATAAACGACGGAATTCCTAACGGCGCGCCGTCGAGGCCGGCCAACCAAGGCAACGCAATTCTGGACATAGCCGTAATAACACCAACAGATCGAGGCACAATCCAAGCAGTTAGAAAGCGTCGGATCAGACCATCTACCATGGCTACTCACTGTAAAAATCGAATACAACATAGAGGAAAACAAATCTCGCTACACAAGGAGGATATGGGAGGACGAGGGGGGCGATGGAAGCATGCCAACAAACCATGTGGGAAGGCTTCCGCTACCTAAACGGGGAAATAATCACGGAGGAAGACTGCGAAAGATACGTCGAAACCATGGAGAAATCCATTACAGCAGCCCTCGACGAACACGCACCTTTCACAACAAGAACGAGACGAGAACATCTACCACCGGAAATAAATTAAATGATAGACTTCAGAAACAAGCTGAAACAAATTAAATGGCAGGTAAGGCACTGCAGCCCCAACCTACGAGCCACATGCCCTCTACAACAAAGCCAAAAAAGAAGCAGACAAAGCACTGAGAGAATATATCGAGAAGGGCTGGCTGGATAAGATCCAGGATCCGAATGACAATAGGTCGCAAATGTGGCGCATCCAACGCAACATGAAGAAACCAATCATGAAACTACCAAACACAACGGGCTGCAAAACGGAAAAAGAGACGATCGACTCACTGACTGAGGCAGCAATAGTAAAAGAGGCAGTAATTGCGACGGAAGACGAGGGCACAGAGAAAAGACCCCGTTCCAGCCACTCGACCCAACATCAAAACACGAAGTCAAATTAGCACTGAGCAGGTTCAAAAACAAAAAGGCTCCCGAGCCAGATTAAATCAAGGCAGACGCCCTCAAACTCGGGGGAGAAGTCTTCACCGAGGCATTTGTGCCTCCAGCTAACTTTATAATGTCCACAGGGTACTTCCCTAAGAGATGGAAAACCGGCGTGTGCATCTTCCTGCACAAAGCTGGCAAAGATCATCGCCAGGCACTATCGTACCGCCCGATTACACTGCTCAACATAATGGGCAAACTGTGCGAGCGACTGATCCTGAGACGACTCACCGCCACGGTGGACCGGCTGCAACCACCGTTTCAACACGGCTTCACAAGGGCCAGAGGCACAGCGACCCAGATCCTTCGCACCGGTAAAATAATCACAGATGCCCTGGCCAACGGCGAAAGCGTCTCCATGATATCAACAGATCTCTCGAAAGCCTTTGACTATAAACACAAAGGCTTGATCAAAAAGCTACAAGACAAAGACGTACCCACTAACATCACAAAAATTATAGAAAACTACCTTGCAGGCAGACAACTGAAAGGCAGGTTTAGAACAACATAAACAGAGGAGAAACCTATACTCCATGGCGTGCCTCAAGGATCGATCCTGGGGCCGGTGATTTTCAACCTGTATGTCCATGACATCTGGGACATACATGGCAGAATTAAAGGGCTCAAACTCTCAAGTACGCGGATGACCTCTGCCATTCTCAACAGAGCCACAAACCCAGACCACGCAACCATGCGATCGGAATGGCGTAGAAACCATTATTAACTACTATACGAGATGGGGGCTCAAATGCAACATAGAGAAAACCGAGTGCATTATGTTCTCAAAGAAAAGTAAATACCGTCCAGCGGTAAAATTAAAACAACAGATGCTACCATACCAAAACCAGATCAAATACCTCGGCGTGGTCTTCTAAACGCATGAGAATGAATCAACACACCGAAAGGGTAGTGAAGAAACTGAAACGGGTCAGAGGAGCCCTTGGCCCGATAATTGGATACTACGCAAAAACAGATCTAGAAATCAAACTGACCACAATACAGGCCTACATTCTGCCACTGCTGGACTTCGGAGTGGTCCAACTGCTATCGAGGTACAGCGCAACGAACCTGAGTAAAATCGAAAGACAACACAGAATGGCACTCAAGAGTGCTGCCCAACTACCGAAAAGAATATCCACAGAGGCGCTATGGGAGATGGCTGACATAGAAGCCTGGCACCTACGTGCCGAGGACATAAATCAGAAGATGTTCGACAACATTGCCCAGATGGAAATAGAAGACCTAAAATCCCCCCGGTGACGCCTACCTGGCGCACGGAGAATTCAATCCCCTCAGGACCAATCATAGAATATGTGAAATTTATATGATCCCAAAAAGAAAATTTACAAGCGATGGCCCACTGATAACCCCGCGCCCTCTTAGGTTAAGGTAATTAAGGCTAGCAAATAAGTACACAAAAACAAATGAAATACGTGATAATTTTATTGTATAAACTTTATTATGAATAAGCAAAACACAGCAAACACAGATCCACCTAGGACATAAGTTAGCTGACTCACCCTCGCACGGTCCACCGGCCGTGAGGATGCAAATGTAAATACACAAGTAGGCAAATAAATAATTTCTGATTCTGATTCTGTCAAACAATATATTGAAATGAAGCATTTGACGTTTTTTTGACGTTTCATTGAACACAACATGTTTTAACAAGTTTTGGAAACAAAAAATTTCGATACTTATAATTTACTATGTTGTGTTGACATGAAAACATGTAGGAAGATTTGTTTGCGTATATAATTACTTTCATAGGTAATGTAATACTAAATGAAAATAAATATTACTTTACTTACTACTTACTATAAGCTATCCGAATCATAAAGAAAAATAAAACGATTGAAACCATCCATACCTTTGCTTAATATTTTATTTTATTAAATTAGCTGTGCCCTGTATGTATTGTAAATACCATTTTTGGCAGAAGCATTCACAGGTGTGATTACGAATTTTCATCGTCCTCGGATGAGGGACAGGTATAGGAACATATGAAAAACGAACAAATAAACAAAAGAATGTTAAATTTTTGTCAGACAAGTTTGCGGGCGCGCACACAACTTACTAAATGACATCGTAGGTAATTGGATAAATGGTAAAGGACGTGTTCCTTTACCATACGGGACAAAAAATATTCTCTTTTATATATAGAAATAGTGCCAGATTACCTATGTATTTGAAAGTATCTATTTTTATCAACTTTATGTTTAACAACTTTTTTGGATAACATTATAAACAAGCATAAAATCGAACAGCAAAAAATCTTAAAAATTTTCGCAAAATTTATAGTTTCGTGGAGTGCAAACGCTAGTACTAACAAAACATGTTACGTGATTTATTTTATGCGACTGGTTTTGAAACATTACAAGTTGAATTTTTTTTTGGTGCAAACGAAGGGTAAGAGGCGACAGAGAGAAATTAAAACTGGGGATGGGCAGCAACATGTTCCCGATAACAATTGAAAATTTAAAAAAAACTGTTGGCAGCACAAACCGCCTGCAAGCGTGGCTACTATGGCAAAATCCCCCTATGATGCAGGAGGCCTATGTCCAGCCGTAGAATTTTATAGAGTATGATGAATCGATATACGAGATACATTGTGCATTGCCATCTTTTTCTTAAAGAAGAGGTGGCAAACGAGCATACGGCTCACACTTTACACATGTTGACCGCCGCCCATTAAAAACTACAACAATAAAGGCGTTATCGGTTTTAATCTATCGAAAACCATAAGATTAGATAGAAGATAAGATGGATTTTCTTACGTCGCGTGGCCGTCAAACAACAAAAATATAGAATAGAGTAGGATTTTAAATAAATTTTTTTTCAGGACTACAACGCGACGGTCCACTCTTGGGCTTCCCGGGCGGAATGCCGCCGCAATCCTTACCCCAGCCAGGTATAACACATATTATATATTTTGCATTATAGATTAGGGGTTAGTAATAATAGTTGAAATTATTGATTAGACCAGTTAGGCGTTTACTTAAACAAAACAAGTCATAGAGTGAGTATAGGAACGTAGCTTAGAGTAAGTTAGCTAGATTAGTGTACATAACATTTAATTACTTAAAATTAATAAATTTAATGTTTATTTTTATTTTTATTTTTTTGATTAAGTTCTTAGTGATTATTATTTAAGTTACTATAGCATTAAGCGTATCCCACACACAAGCGGCTTGCGGTGGGTGGGTAGTTGATATTCTCTTGCAATGTAGGTGAATTTGCAAAAACGTGCGAACATATCGCGGCCGCGTGCATCCCCTCCCCCTCCGCCATTGCGTGCCTGTCGGTGGTCGCAAGCTGCAGCGCGGTCACTTGCAAATTTATACAACAGGCCGCGTGTACCGCGTAGCAAATAGCCCTAAATACAGAGATTTTAATAGAAAATTCTTTACGTGGTAGAGCCACGCTGTAACTATATTATAATTGTAGCACGAATGGGTTGGCTCGTCCGGGAAAGGACCACGCTCTCACAGAATACCAGCGTAAAATAGTAGCTTAATGTTGTTGTGTTTCTTATGGTGAGTGTAGGGAGCCGGAGACCCTTTTTATTGGAAACAAGGCATTGCATCTGAGTCCTCAGGGGTGACAACGCATTTGCATTTTGATTCTTAATTGAGGATAAATGTGGATGTCTATGGGTCATAGCATCCACTTACCATCAGGTGGACTTGATCCCCTTTTGTCACTCAATGCTATAAAAAAGAAATAGTGCACAATTTAATGACAACGATACATTGATGATTGATGATGAAAATGATACAACACGCTGCAATTACAAAAAAGTAGATTTAAAAACAAAATATGACATAGTATTGCTGAAGTACTGATTGTTTTATTACTTACCTTTTCTGATTTTCTGAAAGGGCTAATAAAAATAATAAAACTGTATCACGATCGACTGTCGTCCGATCGTAGCACAGACACCACGGCGTATGGCCTTTCAGGCTGCCAAACCACTGCGACCACAATGGCACAGCTTAAAGACCTTACAGTTCCTCCGCTATGAAATCTGTCAAATATTTCACCTCATTCCTAAATGACTTTGCTCTGGTGGCAGAAAAATCATGGATTCCCATTGAATGAAAGAACATATTATTACTGCAACTTGCAAAACATCAATTTCCAAACAAAAACAAAAAACACCTAAGTAAATAAAAATAATGTTGATTACAGCAACATAAAGACCATCGACTCAGTATACTACAGTCACAGATTTACCGTCACCGTTACAGCCTACTTAAGTCCACTGCTGAACTCATAGAGGACGTTTACCGTTATTTCCACACTAGACAAGCGAGTTTGAAAACCGCAGTTTATTTTTATTTTTAGTGGTTACTGGGAAGTGCTATCGCCCACACACCCAAGAAATAATATGGGTAAATGAAATATTCTTACACCGTCACTACATGGTGAACACCCCGGGAAACAGAATTACCTCAGCGCTAATATAAGTCGACTCGCGAGCAATAATTGCTGGACATAATTTTTTGTATTTTTTGTTGTTGTTTTTATGCTTAACGGTGGGGTTGTTGGTTGCAGGCATGGTGGGCGGGTTCCTGGGCGGACTGGTGGGCGGGCTGATGATGCCAATGCCGCACCATCCCCAGCACCAGCACCATCATCCGGTCTGTACACACGAGCCTTTTCCATCTCAAACACACTTGTGCCTCGGGAACGCAGTGCATAAGCACTTGTTTGTAGCTGTGGTCGTGGGTTCGAACCCCGCACCGAATATTTAAATGACGTGTAGAAATAATTGTTTTGGGTTTGGCTGTGTTTTCATGTGCAGTTTATGTAGATAAATTCGTGGCGCAGTGACTTAGCAATAAGTTGCAGTGCTAAAGGCCGCGGGTTTGGATCCTGCACGGAACAAGTATTTGTATAGCCTATAAATAATTGTTCCGGGTATGTATTTATTTTCCTTGTGCAGTTTATGTATATAAATTCGACGACTCCGTGGCGCAGTGACTTAACAATGAGTTGCAGCGCTCAAGGCCACGGGTTTGGGTCCCGCACGGAACAAGTATTTGTATAGTATAGTCTATAAATAATTGTTCCGGGTGTGGATATTTTTCTTTGTGCAATTTATGTATATAAACCGCCTCCACGATACAGGAGAAAAACCTAGTGTGTAAGTAATGTTTTAAAGAAAAATAAATAAATGTAGTTATGTTATGGTTGTGGTACGACTGGGGCGGCCGAAGTCGATGACGCAGAATAATGCCGCTGTATTATGGTGAGTGTGCCAGTAAAGCTAACAGTATACCATATAAATTCACAGAATGCCAGCGTAAAATAGCAGCTTAAGACTGCTGTTTTGTATGGTGAGTGTTTGAATAATACAAAATTTACGGATTTTATCGCGTTTATTTCACTGATTTTACTTATTTTTAATTCCCGACGTTTCGGAGCTTACACTAAACGAGCTTCCAGTATCTTCAAGTCTTGCAAGCATAACACTGCAAGACTTCAATATACTGTAAGCTCGTTTTGCGTAAATCGGACCGAAAAATTAATATTAAAAAACTGAAGGTAGCCGCGCTAACTATGACATTGGGACGTCAAACATCTCAGTCCTCCCCCCCCCGTGACCATAGGTGCTATAAAGCACTTGAAGCGTCGGGAATTAAAAATAAGTAAAATCAGTTAAATACGAGGATAAAATCCGTAAATTTAGTATTATTCAATGTGTAGTGTTCGCGTAAATTTAAGTAATCATTATGTTGAGTGTTTACTGGAATCGAGGCATAGTCCTCAAGGGAGGAAGGATGAATGTAGATGTCCACAGCACCCACTTACCATCTGGTGAACTGTTATCGTTTGTGACCCTTATTCTATAAAAAAGCAATAACCTTATTTCCGGGGATTATTATCATCATCCATGTATTCCTTCATCATCATCAACACACAAGTATGAAAGCTTGGCGAAAAAACTGCATATATGCTCAAACAACGGCAAGGTTACAAAAATAAAAGTACTAAATTATCCATGTAAAGATTGGATAAAAAAAAAAATCATACAGGATATTAACAGGAGGAATATTTACTGGCGAAAGTACAAACTGAATGAATCAGACACGTAATTAAATACGGAATAATATGAGAAAATATAAGCTATTGTGACTCACAACATTAAAAATGTTTTATAGGTAATATGACCTTTAATACCATTTTTTTCGAAAATCCTGTCAAATGTGCCGAATACTGAATATGAAACGAATATTCTTCCTGTCACAGTTACCATTACGACTTAATAAAGTTCATCGCTGAACATAGTCCTCCCCATAAATTGCCTCATAAGGGGGATATTTGCCATAGTTGCCACGCTTGGGAAGCGTGTTGGCAACTGCAGTTTTTTTATTTTGGTTGTTATTAGGAAGATGTTGCTGCCTATCTGGTTTGTCCCTCTGTTGACTCTAACGACGCCCACGGTTTGATATGGGGTAGTCCAATATTCTGCCCAGACCTAAAGTTAAAAAATAAATAAAGTTACATCCTAAATACGTGGAGAGGATTTTAGGGCAAGGAATTGTCCGCCGCGCCGCCTCAATGCGTGTTGGCGAACTTCACATGTTTTTCGAAATATTTTTTTTCTTATTTTTCTGACATGCTGGTTTTTCCTCACGATGTTTTCCTTCACCTACGAGCACGTGGTAAATCTTAAAATTGCAATTAACAATTTCATTGGTGCCGGCGGGCAGCGAACCCGGTTTGCTCGCGTATCGTGAAATTTACAGCGAGCGCTAACCGTCTGAGCTACCACGGCTCTGCCCAGACCTATTTGAATATTTTTTTTCATTTACTATCATATTTTAACTAATATCAAGAGTACGTTGCAGGGGACCAGTGTGAGCACAGCCACTAACAACCACAATGCGAACGACAACACGGCGGCGGACGACGCCATGGACCTGGACCCCGACGACTCGCACTCGGATGCACGAGAGCCGGCCTTGTTACCCGATCAAGTACGTACACAGTAGCTTAGAAACAGCTTCCATAGCATAATCAGGCCAAAATCACTCTAGAGCTAGGAAATTGGCGGTGTTTTTTTCACCCTCGTGCTTGGGACACCATGTAAAACATTGCTACACATTCTAAATGGGCGTCTGAAAACCTTACTGTCCAAGAGAATAGCACCAAAACAAAAAAATGTTTTGTTAAAAGGAGGGATGTGTACCCGTGAGCAGATCCTTATTGTTCGTCAAATCAAAGAGATGGTATGAGATTTCAACTAGACGAGGTAAATTTATTTTTCTTGAAGGCGTTTGACTGTGTGAAATGGCCTAAACTGTAGATTGTTTTGCTGGACCAAACACTGCAACACGTAGTTCATCTTCTCAGACGCGTTTACGAAATGCATCTGTGTGGATGGGTGTCGTTTTATCAGAAAACTTCCAGCCCAGTGCGGGTGTTTGCTAAAAATGCAAAATAACACTGCTTTTATTCAATGCTGTACGTGGAAGAGTCACGCTGCAGCTATGCTACGGTTGTACCACAAATGGGTCGGCTCGACCGGGGCAGGACTAAGTTCTCTCAAAACCAACGAGTGCAGAGAATTGAAAATATTTTTAACTGTTCGCTATGAAAATCAATGATTTAAAAAAAATGAGGATTCCCTTTCAAAGTCTAATGAGACAGCAATTCGACATGAAATGGGAATATTTTCAATGTGTTATTGCTCAATCATTGGTTTCTATTAGGGATTTGAAATCAGTTCCCCAAGTGTGACAGTGTTAGAGTAGGAGGGAGACAAAGTAAAAGGCGATAGAGGGAAATAAACCAGGAGATGGGCAGCAGCGTTTTCCTAACTACGACTAAAAAGTAATAAACTGCGCTTGCTTGTAAATTTCACTGACCTCTCACTGCGTATAGGATATAAATCATTTAGACCTACATGTGAAAATCCATGTTACTACCTCAGATCCAAGCGCTAATGTCGAAGCCGCCGCCCATCTTCAATTCGTCGGAGCCGCCGCCTAAGTTCACCCCTACGGAAGCTCCGCCCTTCGACGCGTCGCAGCCTCCCCCCGCGCACCCGGCTAACCCGGCGCCGCCCGCCCCCGCTCGCGCCCCATCCCCCGCCACCGCTGCAGCGGCCGCGCCCGCGAACGCCGAAGAGAAGCGCGATGAGGAGCGACGCGATCGCGACAAGGAGCGCCGCGACCGAGACCGAGGCGAACGGGACCGGCGAGACCGCGGCGACCGCGACAGAGGAGACCGGGACCGCAGGGACCGGGATCGGGACCGCCGCGACCGCGATCGGGACCGAGGCGGCAGGGACCGCGACAGGTAGCCTCACACACACAGTTCTTTCTTTTTTATTAAAGACTACACACACACACACACACACACACACACGCACGCACACGCACATGCACACACACATGCACACACACATGCACACACGTATACATAAAATATATATATATATATATATATATATATATATATATATATCATATATATATATATATATCAAGTAATTTAAAACTTTTTTACGCTCCGCATAAACCCACAAATTTGTATGTATTTATGGAAGACTAGTTGACCCACGCAACTTCGTCTGCGTCACATAAGAGAGAGAGAGAGAAAGTAAGAGTGAGTGAGTGAATGAGTCGTAGCAGAGCTTAAACTTTTTTGTTTTATCCACGAACCACTTTATAACAATTGAAAAAAATTTGATAAAATTTGATATCGTAAGTTTTTGTAGAACGTCGATAAGATCGATTTGAAAGGTTGAATTTAAATTTGGCGCAATACCTGTAATGATACCTGATCTGCATGAGAAATAAAATATATTTAGTTAGTTTAGTTAATTTATAATTATTTATTTACTGCTTGATTCCCGTTCTCGTTTAGCCAAAGTTCGGGAATTCTGTAAGGCCAAACGCTGAGAACGTTCAGCGCTTGATTCCCGGTGTCCGTTCGGCGAAGTTTGAGAATTCTGTGAGGTTGAACTCTGCGAACGTTCAACGCTTGATTCCCTAGCACGGTTTTGTTCATTGGTTACTTATAGAGTACCCAACTTGTGCATATTTTCATCCACTGTTGCATTGCTGCGCAAAAGTCGCAGCAGTTTTGCTGTAGCAGACTGCCGAGAAGGCAGAGTTCTTTTTAGGAGGCAAACGAGCATACGGCTCACCTGATGGTAAGTGACTACCTCCGCCCATGAACAACTGCAACATCAGCGACAGAATTAGCAACAACGTTGAGATTGTCCGGCGATAAGCAAATCCGCCGCCAAGGGTAGGATGCAAATAAAGTCTGCATCCTATCGCAATCGGGCGACCTATAGTGCCAAACACGGCAGCAGCCTGCAGAATGCAACCGCAATTTCAGCGTCAGGCACCACACTCCGGACTAGACAATGGTCTGAAGAGCCATGAGGAGCGTAGACAGAAACCTGATATCTGTCCGGGTGAGAAGTCAGCAGAAGGTCCAACAGGGAAGGTGTAATCCTCCACATCTGGAATCCGCGTAGGCGAAGTAACTAGTTGTGTCAGACCATATGCCAGGGCAAAAACATGAATAGATCTCCCCACATGATCGATAAACGTGAACTGAGCCAAATACGCGGGCAGCCTGAACATCCACGCTCAGGAGTGGAGTATCTTTTTCGTGGATGCTCAGCTAGGGATTCTCCGGGGGTGCTGGTAATAAGTGACCATAATATATAACCCAATAGAAATTAATACAAAATCAAATTATGTACCTGTACCTATGTTAAATGGTCAGTAAGTGTAGGTAGGTACTACATACTTAGTCAAGAAATATCCGAAAAAACACCTAGAAATTAAAAAAAAATTATTTATTTAAAAAGTATTATTATATGATGTGATATCGCAGACATATAAAAAAGGCAGTTCACTGCACACACTGAACGTAGGGAAGGGAGCTACCGGCCGGCCTCGCTAGCGCGCCCTCCTGCCCCCCCCCTTCCCCCCCACAAGACTGCTCGCCTCCAACATCATTCTGCGTAATAAAAATGCGCGTGCGGTCGATGATTATTAATTCACTGCGGAGTTATTTTAAAAATGTGATATCTCCTAAGATATTCATTGAAATCAAATGATATAAGGGCAATTTTATTCAAAATTAAATACTTGTGATGAATAATGTATTTATTTGGATAAGGTTGTGTTAAGTTAAGCCATGTTTATAAAAACACTCGAAAATAATGCATTATTTTAGAACAAATTCGATTACCATAAAAAAGGTTAAAGTGAGTCAACCTTAAAAGACATACGCTATCGCGAACTTTTTCTTAGAACTTTTTAAGAGGAACAATTCATGATTGTTGCGTAACTTTAACCTGCACTTTTAACTGCAGCACGGATAAGCCGTCTCGACCGGGCTAGCATCACGCTCGCAATGAGTACCAGCGTAAAATAGCACCAATATGCTGTAATGTTTCGTGTTGTGAGTGTAGAGAAACGAACATCTTTTTAACTGGCAACGAGACATTCCATCCTAGGCCACAGGGGTGACACGCGTGATTCTTAATCGAGGATAGATGTAGTGTCTATAGTTCACGCCGTCCACTTACCATCAGAATGCATTCTTGTTTGTGGGCTACAAATAATTATATAAAAAATGTTAAAAATGGGAGATAAAGAGATCGTAATAAATTAGAACAACGGTAAAACAGATTTCTTCACGCGAAGTTAGCACAAAGTAATCCTAGATATAACTTAAAAGCAACACACGAGCATTAGTTTACACAGCGCACGCAACGAAAGCTCTCAAAAATAATTTTTCTCTCTCTTTGCAACATTTTTCATTGATGCTCCGCTTCCTTACTGGATAAATGGGCTGTCCAACACTAAAATAATTTTTCAATTCGAACCAGCAGTTCCTGAGAATAGCGTATTCAACCAAGCAAACAAACTCCTCAGCTTTATAATTAAAAAAAATGTAAATTCAGAAAGATAATAAGACTTTAATGTTTAATTGGGACGTAGCCCTCTCATACTTACTATGAAGCAATTTTTTATGTTTTATTTGAATTATGTTGGATAATTATTTTTATCGTCTGGAAAATTAGGGTGTAACACGTAAACGGAATAGAAGCCTATGACACTGATATTTTACTTTTTATTTTTATTCTACATTAACATATTATGTAATTGGATCTATCAATAACACTAATTGGATACATGTTATTTTAATTTTGATAGTTTTAATTGATTTATTTATTTAGTTCAAAATTTTGCTTTAGTTTTTAGTACCGAAAGATTATTTCAAATTAGTATTATATATTGATAGATCAATTTCATAATATGTTAATGTAAAATTAAAAATATCAGTGCTATCTATCCCGTTCACCTGTTACACCCTATTTTTTCCAAACGGTAAAAAAATCACCCAGTAAGTATATAATAAATTTTATTATAATATAATAACTATGCCCACTTTTACCCGCAATACAGACATACCTAATATGCCTACAAATTAAAAACTACAGTAGAGAATGTCAACATACTCTCATTTTTATTTCAAAGGTTTTTAAATAATTAAAATATAACATCCAATATATTTAAAATTAAATCAGAGTAAAAGTGACTATATTCGAGAACCGGAGACCCTTTTTTGTTAAGAGGATTGTGAAGCTGTAAATTTTCATATAAAAAGCGATAACGTTTTCCCACTAGTAAACATAGTCTAATTTTCATAATTTTTGGAAATGTTGTAGATATAACAAAAAACTAGGTCTGTACGTTTTAATTTCAAAGAAATATTACGAACGATGTAAGTTATTAGCATCTAAATATCTATATTTTTGACTTAAAAACTTCCTCGAGCGTTTTTATTTTTCTTAATTAAACTAAACTGATTTACTATAAAAGAAACGTACAGACTTAGACTAAGATGTACTGAATCTAATGGTTAAATTATCTCATTTCGTAAAGGTTTAGGGGGGTAAAAATGTTATCGCCCGAAACAATATTTCAATAAAGAAATGTAGGCAATTTCTTCCAAGACTTGCAACTCTCTCTATCGCACGATACGGGTCGGGAGGCAGGGGCATACGCATACTGCTGTAGTTGTGGTTTGTTGTTATTAGATGTTGGAGATTTTATCGATATACATATATGTATAGATTTGACGGCTACGTTGCGCAGTAGCTCAGCAATGAGTTATAGCGTTGAGGGCCGCGGGTTCGAATCCCGCACGGCACAAGTATTTGTATGGCCTACAAGTAATTGTTCCGGGTCTGGATGTTTGTCCTTGTGCAATTTATGTTTGTAAAAACTGCCTCCACGATACAGGAGAAAGTCCTAGTGTGGGGGTAACGTAAAAAAATTATAATTAAAAAAGATATTATTTATTTATTTATAAACTTACACGTAACACCTTAAGCTAAAGGGTACATAGGGCGGACTTAATGCCATGTGGCATTCTCTGCCAGTCAACCCTGGGTGCCAAGGACAATAGTTGGCAGGTGCGACCATTATACGTAAATAAGTGCTTATACATTAAAATATACATATATGCAAAGTACATACATACATTACATTTAAATATACACACATATAGTATAAATATACGTACAATAATACATACATACATATATATTATATATATACATGCTTATAAACTTCGAAAATAAATATCGAAATGAATGATATATATAATATAATGTTTGAATAATATATAATGAAATAAATATTTGAAGTAAAAAAGAAGAAAAGAAAGACAAAAATTAAGGAAAAATAATGTTAATTAGTAGTTTCATTCAGGTAATGTTCTCGGAGAAGAACTTTGAAAACTTTTTTATTTGTGGCATTCTTAATATCGTTAGGGAGGGTGTTCCAAAGTTGTATAGCTTGTATCGTAAAAGACGACCTAAAAAAATTTGACTTATGCTGTGGAAACCTTAACCTCAGACGGTTTGACTGTCGGGATATTCGACCGTCGATCGGATGAAAAAAAAATGAAAATTATCCTTAAGATAAGAAGGCGACCTTGGATCGTTTAAAATTGAATAAAGTACAAGTAAAATTCTAGAGCATCGTCTTTGACGTATAGGTAGCCATTTAAGCTTTGAACGATAGGATGATATGTGGTCATACTTACGTAAACCAAAAATAAACCTTATGGAATTATTAAGAAGGCGCTCCAACTTGTTTAGAAGATTTTCTGACAGATCTGGGTAACATACATCGGCAAAGTCGATAATAGGTAGAATAAGGGAATGAACCAGCGTAAGCTTGGTTTTGAAAGGTAGGAAATTTTTAAGACGATAAAGGGAACGCAAGGTAGCAACAACTTTACGACTAACTTCAGAG